TTATGATACCTATGATACCTATGATACAAAATACAGGCTAATAATATGTCCAGTACATTCTATTAGAGTTTTATAAAGTTGTTTCACCAAATGAAATAATCAAATACATAAAAATCAGATTTCATTTTTTTTAACCCATTGATGCTTTTATGCTTGATGTTAATCTGAATAAGAAGTTTCAGTAAAACAGCTATTATAATCCTAACATCAAATAGTTATCAGACATTTTTTGCTTGATCACTTTAAGCTGTGAACTTTGCTTACAAAATCAAAACAATTATGAATTGGGTGTACCTAATATGAGCTTTTACTTCATTAAAACTTGCTTCAGCTTGTAGTGCAAATAGAATGACACAAACAGAAAGCATTAGAGCTATCATTAGACATGTCATTTATAGTTACAAAGGAATTTCCACACGTTGAGGCTTAAAGGTGCCCAGTCATAACATGCATTATTTTTCATCCTGCTAGGAGAAAAAAATAAATCCTGGTGTTAAATTACAAAACCAGCTATATAACTGCACTGCAGCTCCCATGGCTCACACTGCAATAATGCAGTCGCTCAAACATGGGAATTCCCAGGGAAAAAAATACCATGCAGAGAGATACTGGAGTGTATTAGAAAACTTACAGTTTCTTTTATCCCTTTAGGATATCTTTTCTTGCACTTTGTTTCTGAAGCTTTGTGTTGGGACTACTCTATTTAGTGAAGGAGTTCCCTTTAAACTGAACTGCCCGAGTAACTTTCCCAGTGGAGAGGAACTGCTCCTTTTGAAGACTGCAGAGGGGCTTTCAAAAGCTTTAGGCTTGTATCTAGCTTCCTTTGTTCCATGGAGTCTGTTTACTTGACTGTAAATAAAGTGCCATTTACAGACAGAAGTTAGGAAGTGGATTTTTACTTGCTCGACTAATCTCTCATCATGATCATTAGGTCACAAAGTAGAAGTCTGTCACCAAAAGCTATTAAAATCCAGATAGTGAACTAGTTTTCTTTATTTCAAGATTCTTAAATTATCAAAGTTCATTGCCTGAAGGCAGCAACAGACCCTGAATCATTCCAGCCTAGAATATACAGTACTTTGAACCTAGATACTTCAGTGATTGGTACCCTTTTAACGTGTAAGAGACTCTCTTATTTTGCACGGGCTTAAAATAGGTCTAAAGGAAACTTAGAATTTTCTCTTTTTTTGGCTGCAAATACTTGAGTTTCTTTTTATAGATACTATATTAAGATAGATGTACAAAATGGATAAAAGATGTCTTTATAGTGCAAGCACTATATAAGATGGAGGAAAATGGCAGGAAAAATGCCTACTATGTTATTGCCAGTATATACTTGCTAGGCCCAAGCCAACTAAGATTTGTGTGGAATAGATCTAAAAAGTCTGCTGACGATTATAAAAATGTGGAATTTAAAATGTGACTGAAAGACGCTGAAAGTAGGTTTTTGGTTTTTTTTTAATAATGGTTGTGCTGATTCAGATTGTGTTTTCCAGCATTTCTGCGTTGATTTTTGCAAAGCAGTTGTGGGTGAGAGGCAAAGCTGATCTGTAAGAACACTGCAGAAAACAGCGTGTCCTCAGAGGCTGGGTTTTATGGTTGCTTTTTTTTGTTCGCTTTTCACTGTCCTTGACAGGCTGCCTGTCTGGAAAGTGAACATGATAGAGGCAGATTTGAATGCTGCACTTGTGCAAATTATTAAAAATAATAAAATCAAGCCCCAGTGGTAAATGGGAAGGAAGGATGGGTGAAACCGTTCAGCGAGAAGAAGGCCTGTGTCACACCATGGGAAGAGAAAAAAGACATTGTTTCAGTAAGCTGTGGTGAAGCCCAGGGGAGCTACAGGTAGCTGAAGCTGCCCAGAGCAGGGACAGGCAATGTCCTTGCTCCTTGGAATAAGTCCCCATCTTGGAGAAAATAGGACCACATTGAGTCCTGGGAGGTTCAGGGATGGATGTTAGACACTGTGGTGAGTGGTCAAGGGAGAAGATGAACAGGCAACACATAACCTACCACACATTTTGCTGACCCCATCTGACTTTTTACAGCACCCCAGAGGAATTTGAACCATAGGGCCTTTTCTTCAGGCTGTTGGCTGTCATACTCACCTTGGACACAAATTAGAAACATCTTCCATGTATTTGCACCAAAGTTTTCCAGTGCACTCAGCAGTGTTACCATTTGGTTTTCAGTGTGAATTGACATTAAGTGTGTAACAGTCCAGAGAGCCAAGAGTTTTTCTCTAAATGTCACTGGATTTTGGGTCAGATTGGAACTGTTTATTATTCAAGATTGCTTCCATCTTTCAAGTTTGAAAGCCAGGGTTTATTTTCATGTACAACATAAAATGTGGAGGGTTCTTCTTCAGTATTTACATGCAGGATGATGCTGTGGTATAGTCTCGTTTAGTCTCTTGAGAATGGGAAACTGCTAAATCATGCTTGATTTCTGACTGAGGATAATACAATTTAACAACAGACACAAAGAAAAAACAAAACAGGGAATGACATGAAAAAATGTTTTTATAAAATACAAGTATATTAGATCACAAAGGAATTACTGGTAGTTGTTGATTACTATCTCAATACACCATTTCCTTATCCTCACAACCCAGACATAAACTGTGATTATATGAGGTTGTGTTTAGTGTCAAAAGACTTGCAAAACAAGGTAATGAGTCTGTACACATTCTCTTTTCCAGTCTTAAATAGCTTGACTCAAGAAATATATTTATCTCTAAGGATGTTTCTCCATCTTCTAGCAATGGGTGACTTCTTGCTTTCCAGAGACTGACTGTAGATGTGGTTGTTTGAGATAACTAATATATGCTTTCCTGTTTGAATTTGTGGTTAAAAAGTGGTAACCCTTTAGAGCTGTATTTAGTCTTCCGCTAGAGATCCTCCTTTTTTGAATATTGAGGGCAGGGGTACAAAATACACTTTTTACAGGTCATGAACTTTGCCTGCAAACCTGTGATTGTGATTTTAATATTTTCACTATGATTTTATTACCATTCTTACTATTACAATTCAGCTATTGTGATGGGCTGTTTCATGCTGATATAAACCCTATTAACCTCTCTTCCAAAACTGCTCATGGGACCTGGGAGATAGTGATACCAACAGTAAGCTCTCATCAAAACTAGAGAAATGGTTAGAATTTGAGATTATATTTTTAAGATGCCATCTCTCCTTAAAGTATCTTTGTTGTAAGGATTATTGAAAAGGCTGCTTCTTTACTACACAATGACTCATACTAAGTAATCGTGGTGAGGCATATTTGTGTGTAAAGCAGATAAAACTCATTCTGTCTGGGCACACAGGAAGGGAGGGGAAACATGAGGGACATTGTTTAACCCATGAGCAGCTCTGTGAACCTGCCTCATCTAGGAACCTCAGGGAGTGGCTGCACAATGCAATCACAAGTCATTATTTCTTCCATCATTGCCATTTTTGGACGCTTTTCAGGAGCTCTGAGGTGTTCCTCCGTTGGGCTGTAGCTTGTTCCTGGAATCCCACTGTTGTCTCAGTTCTTCCACCTCCACACTGGGGAAGGAGTTACCTACTCACAGCAGAGTCCCTCAGGGGAGTCTGGTCTTTTCCCTGCAGCCTTCCCAGTGCGTATTCTCTTAGGTATCAACCTACAGTTCTTGATCAGAAAAAGATCAGGCCCTTTGTGAATGAGGAGTGGACTCCCATGTCCTACAAAATCAATTTTGTCCCCAGTTCACATAGCCGGTTCCTTCCAAAATGGCATGGAATGGCACGCCATTATACCCAGGCACATAAGCGACCAAGGAAAAGCAATTAAGAACAAAACCACAGCTAAGTAGAATTGCAATGTTAATGTCACAATTTATTAATGCTGTTCTACATTGCATGTTTATAGTTCTAAGTTTTCCTGTTTGGACAACTGTTCAGACTGTTTGGACTGAAAACAAAGGCTTCTGGCATGATAATGAAATTACTCAGAAATTTAGGTTTTATGATGCAGCAGATAATCTCACTTTTATTCCAGTGCTGCAAACTCAAATATAAACAGTATGAGCAGGTACAGTCAGGGCATTTTGTTTGAGCACAAAAAGTTGAGGTGAATGGAGTTGCACCCAGCTGGTGGATGGTCACAAGTGGTGTTCCAAGGCTCAGTTTCGCTTTGATATCTCCATTGCCTGGATGAGGGGATCAAGTGCATGCTCAGTCAGATTTCAGGTGACATCAAGTTGGGTAGTGGGAGTGTTTATCTGCCTCACATCCTCTGCAGAGGGTCTGGACAGGCTGCATCAATATGCCAAGGCCAATGGTATGAGGTTCAGCAAAGCCAAGTGCTGGGTCCTGTCCTTGGGTCACAACAGCCCCAGGCAGTGCCACAGGCTGGGGCAAAGTGGCTGGAAAGGACGTGGGGGTGCTGGTGACAGCAGCTGAACATGAGCCAGGGTGTGCCCAGGTGGCCAAGAAGGTTGTCAAGTATTGAAATCCTCTTCCCAGGAAAGTGATGGAATCACCATCCCTGAGAGTTTTTAAAAGATATTTAGCTGTAGCACTTGGAGACATGATTTATTGGTGAGTTTGGCAGTGGTTCAGCAAGGTTTTTCCAACCTAAAAAATTCTGTGATTCTAGTGTACCTCACCAGGCTGTTGATGTGTTTGCTGTGCCATAAGCTTAACTCATGCCTGAAGGTAAAGGAGGATAACAGACGTCTGAATCACACATTTTGCTTCTATTCAGCTAAAACATTCCCATTAGTAACGCTGCAACTTTTGTTAAGCCAAACAGTGAATGAGTCACTGATCTCTGCCCACAGAAATGCAACACACATAAAGAGAGCTACAGAGGCATTTCACATGGCCAGGGTACTGTAGCAATATCACTGTTTTTTCAAGCATGTGTCAAAGGCTGTATTTATTTTCTTCTGTTGGGGGAGCTGTCGCAGATGAAGAGCCTTTTTCACTGGGATCAAAATTCTTCTTTAATTGCTTCTGTTATAATCTTTCTGTTAACAGGCATTCTTCATAAATGCTGTGAAGCCTACAATGTTGGGCTCCTGGAAGCAAAAATATTTTCTGGTCCACCAAGAGAGCAGTTTGGATATGCAGTTCAACAGTTTATAAATGAACAAGGCAAATGGTAAGCATTTTGAATGGCTGGGTTTATGTCCAGCTAAAAGGTTAAGTATAAAATGTTGCAACTCTTAGTATTTCTTTTATAATTCCATATCTCATTTATAGAGATTCTGGCTAATTAGTTTTTATATTAGAGCTATATTTTTACAAATAAATACTTAATGTTATTAAACCAAAAGTTGAGATATTCTAAAAGCATATGCATGTGATGATTTATGCCTTTTTCCTTAACACCATATAACCCAAGGTCTTTCTTATGGTAATTTTTTACTTTATCTCCAATACTCTAATTTCCTTAGGCTTACAGTTTCTTTAGAATTCTAACTTGCATTTCCTTCCTTTGTGTAACCAGAAGATCTTTGTTACACTTTACGTATATGTAGGATATTCTTCCATTTTAACATTTGTTAAGGTCAAAACAAATTATCAGGGCTAGTGAGTTTTAATTATTAATATTAAAATTAAATTAAATTGATATAATTTTGTGTCTGATACAGTATTAACTGTTTGCTTCTCAAGGGATGGTGTATTTGGATGTATGTGATAACACTATATAGCAAGGTCTTGTGTTTGCTACATCTCTTCAGCCACAAAATTTGACCTGAAATCCACTGTTGCCATAACATTGGACTTAATGAGCAATTAGTAAAATATTTTTCCTAGTAATGTTGGTTTAAATGAGAACTTTTAACATATTATTGGGAATAAACACATTTAGTGGAAGACACGTTGTTTTCTCTTCTGCAACCTCAGCAGGCACAAATCTTAAGGTATCTTTATGTGTAAGGACTGTAAGTCTTTGAAAGCAGTTGAGAACGACTGAGCTCTTCAGTGGCTGTGTATACATGGGTTTAAGTCTAGAGCAGAAAGTTACACCAGATTGTACATATTATGGTATGCTGAGACACTTCAGACCAGTCATCCTCCATGGACTGGAGCTGTGTCACAACCCAAACAGCAACAAACTGGCAGTTCTGCTTTTGTGACAGCAGCCTCAGTAACTGCACTTTTTTCAGTACAGAAAAAGTAAGATGCCGCACGTGAAAATGTATTTTGCAGTTCAAGTTTGGAAAAGCCAGCACAGAGTTACTGAGGCAGCTGAGAGGTTTGTGGCGGCGCTGCTCAGAGGCACTGTGCCGCTGCTGTCAGCTGCACATGCAAACGTGCAACTCTAACTTCTCAGCAGTGTTTTCTTCCAGGGACCAGGAGACATAGCGAGAGAAGACCAGAGCTGTAGTCTCCGAATTAAAATATTGGCATTTTCTTTCCTTCAGCTGAGTAGGTTTCCAACCTACCAAAAAAACAAACAAAACAATACAAAACAAAACAAAACAAAACAAAAAAAAAAAACAAAAAACAAACCACTCAGCTTCTGTGTAAAGCCATTGAAGGAGAACAGGAATGTGTGCCTGTACTGAATTGAACGGTTTTGCCTCATACATAGAGAAATTGTTGTGTTTTATACTTCTAATGGGTTTTTCTGAAAGCTTGCAGAATAAGCAATAGCTGCCTGATCCATTCAAGCTATTTATGTTTTATATTTCCCTGTTTTCCTCCTCCACTACCACTTTTGGATAATGTGCGCTGGATAGAAGGGAAAGGAAAGTAACTTTGGTAACTTTGGTTTAACTTTTCCTACCTTACAGAATCACAGAATCATTTAGGTTGGAAAAGACCTTTATGATCATGGAGTTCAACCTAATTTTCTCCTAAGTATATGAATATTTTGAATCTGGTAAACTCTTCTGTATGTAGGCACTTCACCATTAGTTCTTTCACTGCATACTCTCTGACCTATCTCCAAAAATCAGGGAAATTTCATCAGCTTGTGTTCAAAGTAACCAGGACTTGTTAGAGACTTGTTAGAAGAAAAGCCCTTTTCAGTCTCCCACTCAAAAACTCATTAGACAAGCTTAAAAAAATGTGAACCGTGTTCTACTATCTTGTTCTCTTAATTTCTAGGCTATTTTCTTTCTCTTGGGACAATAGAGCTTTTTCTTGTGTGCATTACTAAAAACAAACAAACAAATTAAAACCCAAAGCAAAAAACACAACCAAATAGACAAAAATAAACCCCAACCCAAATAGAACATTCCATCTCTTTCAAGTTGTTCAGTAGAGTTGTTTCCTCCTATGAGCAATGCAGAGGCTGTAGCCCATGCGCAGAGTTCTTGTTGACATGGCTGAACTGGGAACAAGATAAACAGTCTGAGATAAGATCAGGGTTATTTTTCTGTCTGAGGGGAGCGTTTATCATCATATGCTTTTGTGAAGATGTCGTCACTGTTGGCAGCAAGAATGTGATGTATCAGAAAACTCTGTCCAGGCACAGAGAAGGGGCTGCTCACTGCACTGCTGGGGTGCCATCTCTCCCCAAAGGGAGGTTATCCAGAATCTGAGGTCCACAAGAAATTTTATCACTTTCTAGATTTTGCTTGATAAGTTCACAGGGTGCTATATAAAATACAGCTTAAAAAAAACCTCCTGTGCTCTCACAAAGAGTACAAAGGAGAGATACAGCAGATGGAAGTTATATTATTCAGCAGTATTTCTGGGAGGTGCATCTCCTGAGGCTGTAAGAACTAAAGAAATGATAAAGAAAGAATTTTTGCAGAATTGTTACTGGTTTTCACTTTTGCTTGGAGATGAGTTCAGAGAGAAGAGGGAAGCCAGTCCAAAAGGGAATGCAGGACTATTAAAGAGTCTGGTACATGTTGGGATGCTGTGGCACAAGCCACCAAGGAAGACTTTTTATGTTAGAGACAGGATCTAGTATAACTGGGCACTGATCTGCTGTGCATTGATGAGCCTTGATGGCGTGTCATACTCATAAATAAGGAAAAACTTGCAAGTCAAGCACAGCTCAAGCTTTTCACAGTTTCTGATGGGAATTTTAAAACAGGAGTTTTAATGAACTTGAGGAAAATTGTGAATACCAATGAAAACTCATCAATTAGAAAAGCAGTTCATCACACAAGTAATTAGCCACCATCAAAACATAATTCAGTTTATGCTGTGGTTCTACCTGTCAAGAGGTCTTAAATCTTAAATTGAGACTTAAATTTCTGTTGTTTTATAAATATAATTTTTTAGAAAGCCAGATTGTACCCTATCAAATTCATCTTGAATGCACATTCCCTGAACAGTATCTGACAGTATATTCCTCAGATGTAGCCACATTTACTTCATGCTGATAGTTGATTTTATAGCTTCCTCAGGTGAGGAAGATTGAAATAGTTGTAGATAGCTGTGAAATGCTTTTTCTTACACACATGTCTTCAGATACATGCTCAGCTGTGTCTGTGTGCTTAGAATTTGCAATTTTAAAAATTATTTTGGTTTTGAATTTATATTGTAGGATTTTTGTCTTTAAATATTTTGTTTCATCTCGAATGTCACTAATGACACAATAAGCAAGTGCACAAAATGCACTTACTGATGTATCTCATAATTATTTCACTATCAAAAGTATTTTGAGAAATCATTGCCTACTGTTCACTGGTCACCAAATATAGTGGCCTTTCTCCTGAGGTTCTGTACGGCCTCTTCAGACCGATAAGACATTTTGCCAAAAAGACACATTTCTGTATGTACTTCTATTGAAATCAGTACATTTTCAAAGCTTTCTGATTTTAATGAGGAAGGCCATTTCTTTTGAGGAGGATATTTTAATTTTTTTTTTTCCCCTCCTAACAGAAGCTGCCATTGTTGCAGCTCTGTCTTTTCAGTGCCAGAACCACTACTAATGCTGAGTTCTTTACCCAGTTTTGTTTCCCCGACTGCATGCACCACAGTTTGCCCTTTTCCTGCTTGCAGAAGCTCTGGTTGTTTGTTTCTAGGACTTCTGAGTTTATCATTCAAACTCTCTTGCCATAGCTCACTGTAGTTTTTGAACTTCTAATTCTTTTTAAAAGGATCAAAAGTTTTAGATGGTGAAAAGTGTTTTAGTGTGTGCAGAGAAGCATCTATGAGCATGAAGAGTTTTCTGGTCTTCATATCTGCTCATCACTTCCTGTAATTGTAGGAAAAAGGCCAGATGATCTAAGAGGTTCTTTCTACTCTTATTTTCCTATTAGCCATCTTTGTGTTTAGAAAACAAAACACAACACAATAAAAGAAGAGAAGAGAGAAGACAAAAATAAAGAAACTAGAAAATACAAAACATGCTCTGGCAACAGCTGGGAATTCAGCCCTTTACTATGAATTCTGATTTTGCTTTCTGCTACATCACAGTTTGCTGATTACTGGCTTTGTCATGGTGTAATTTCCCAGAAATAATTCCTGTTGTACTTTGATCTGCCACTCCTACAGCTTGTGTGGTAAGGCTGTACTTCATTTGACTTCCTAGTGCCATTGCTTTGTACACAGTGTTGTAGAATGATTAGGGAGATGAATAATAACATCAGTAGCAATATTACATTATACTCACTATAGTATTTTGTAAAGACGGTCTGCAAGGACATATAAAGGGGTTTTGTGAAAATAAATATTTAACACATGGCTGAAAAAGAGCCATACTACATTATACATGACACAGTTTATTTGGAAACAAGCATTTTCAAGTATTTCCGTACTGCTTTCTTGCATTCTTTCCTGATATATTCCGTTTCGGTTTGTGTCATGTATCCTGTCTAATTACAGTAAAAAAAAAAATTGTAGTTAGCAGGATGCTAGCCAGATACTCCCTTGCTGTCTTCACTTCTGACGTTTCAGAAAGATACACGTGCATTTTCCCAGAGCAATGTTGTGTAATTCCTCACTGTAATGGTTTACGTTAATCAGCAAGTAGAGCTTTCTGATTTCTTATGTAGATTAAGGCTGGTATTAAACATTAAGTAAGGCAAAGAATACAAAAGAAATAGAAATTATGTTATTTCCTAAAGCCTTTAAAGCTGACAGTTAAAAGTAGAGGGCTAAGCTTGGCATAAGTCAGTTAATAATTTCTTCTCAGGTATGTATTGATGACAGGTTAGACTAGTTAAGTCAAATAATGCCACGGGTTTGAGAGCTCTGTTGATTTATGAAAATCACTTTCAGTAACAGTCAGTTCTAAGTGTGAATTCTGTGTATGGAGTGGCAATATTTTGGCCTGCAATATAGGTATGACATTGAGATTCACAAACTCTGCAAATCTACAAGGAACACAGAAAAATAAATGAATAAAGTAAGTCCCAGTAAACTGTGAGGAGTGCAGGACAAATGAAAGACAAATTTCTTTATTTGGTATAGATTTAAATCTGGATTTAAAATGAGAAAAGTTCATCTCATTTTGTCTTATATTTTCCTGTTTGTACTATGCAGCAACCCCACTGTTAGTTTCAGGGGTAGCAAAAGTAAAATTATCTTGTGAGTATCAAGTTTTAAGTGATAGTTCCTTGGTATAAGCAGATGTCTGGATTGCAATAAATGTTGAGGGCAGGGAAAATAGGAGGCAAATAATTCCCATGGAATGAGCAAAAGTATGCATGCTGTAAAGGAGAGAACAGCTTTTAGCAAATGCTAGAATAGAGCACGGATCATGTTTGTTTCTATGCCAATAGCAGGGGTGGAGCTTGGAGTTAGCTTGGAGATTGGCTTGGATTTGGCGTCAGCTAGTGCTCAAGCATGCTTCTGTTTCTCTTCTCACTCACTCTTGTGAGTGAAACTGTGTGCTCTGGGCTCCCAGGAAAACCTGTGCCTGCAGAGAAGTGTCAGCACAACACAGAGATTCACAGTGAGTTTCATGACCGGATGAAAAAGGATGCAGGTGGTATTTCCAAGATACAAGGCCATTTTCTGAACAGTAGCTGTTATCCTACAAGAACTGAAATCTGTTTGTCTTCTGGGAAACTTAATGAAAAATTGCCAGTGTTTATAAATGTACACAGTGCAATGTTCAGTTTGACAGTTAATGATGGAAAGCTGTTCCAGTTTCAGATACTGCACACACAGTGTTACCATCCATTTTAAAGCTCTTTCCTCTTTCCACGAAGACTCCTAACCCTTCCCTCCCATCAGCCCAGTTAGCATTTTATGCCTGTACCTAACTCAGTAGTACCTAGCAAGGTGAGAGAGTGTAACACCATGTCTTCCTCCTGTTCTTCCTCCTTCTTCCTCCTACTATTGACCAACTCCAGCCCTCTGTGTCACTGCAAGTATTTGCAGATTATGTTATTTGTGTTTCATCAAGGTGGAATAAACTTAAAAAAGAAAATGCAGTTTAGCAGTATTTTCTCTGAGCATACTCAAAAGGTCTAAAACTCTTTCATGTGCATCTAAAACTCTTTATTGTCATAACCATTTTATTCAAACTAACATCACAACAGTAAAATCAGATGATCCCTACAAAGTTAATATGATATATATAGAAATTGCTTTAAAATATAATAATTTCACAATTTTTTTAATAGCACAAGATATATTTGTGTTAGCCACCTGTAAAATTTTAGAGAATAGCAATTTTGCTTTAAACAACCTATTGATGGACTAAAAAAAGATTATTTCTAAGTGAATTCAATATTCTCTATTGGGGCCCCATTGCTTGTCTTCCTACAGTCTCCAAAATGCATTACTTACTACCATGGCTTTTTCTGTTTGAAAATAAAGTCATATTGCTGCTGGAGCAAATACCCACAGTCCCTGCTTTTCAATAATCTGGTTTATTTTTAATAACCCTTGAGACCATCATTTAGAGACTTTTGATGAAACTAGGTGTCCTTAAGCAGTTTTCCAAGAAGGTGAACTAAACAGTTTTGTGAAGGCTTTCAGATAAGAGTCTTGAGCAGATGTTGGGGGGAAACCTTATGGCAGATGAACAAATGAGTCAGAGAACATGAATCACTTTTTGTTGCAGGCAAAATTATCCTAAGTATTAACTTTCTTGTTCAGGATTACAGACTTTATGGAGCAGATTGTTAAAACCTGCAGTATTTTCTTTCTGATTCAGTGTTATCAAGGTGTGGTAGTGCTCAAGCTCAGACATAAGTGTTTTATTGTTGCTGAGAAGATCCTGTAGAAAATGCTTCTATCAGTTAAAAGAATAATGTAAAAGGAATCAGTTAGCCATTAGCTGATGGAACAATAAGTAATATATATCTTGATCCCCAACATATATATTTTTATGTTTCTATGTATATTAGTACCTTCACTGTATTTCTTCTGACCTATGACATAATGTCACATTAAAAATGGTACACGTGTTGGAAGGCAGATGAATCCCCAAAGACTCTCCCATTCTTCTCCACCAAAGCTGCCCCTGGTGAATCCAGTGCAGTGTATTGACATGCAAGTAAAACTTTGGAACAGTTCTGGAGAAGATTCCCACACCTGAATGCCTTGGGTGCTCGTGAAAGCCTCTCTGTCTCGTACCCATAGTGTGCCATGCAATGCTGCTGAACTTTTTCAGTATGGTTAAGGACCTAATGAAGTTCCTTTTCCTTTAGGTTGTTAGTTGGTTCACCCTGGAGTGGCTATCCTGTGAACAGAACTGGAGATATATATGCATGTCCTGTTGGTGTGTCCAAAAACACATGTAAAAAATTGAATTTACAAGGTACGTTCTAACAGTGTCTTGCTGCACTTGTTCAGTTTTCCCTTGTGTTTGTATGAGGCCAGTCTACCTTATTAAAACTTTCCTTAACTAGCTGTCTGCATAATCTCAGATTCTGTGGAGGTGTGTGTGTGTGCTGCAAGGCCTCAGCGCTGATGAGATGTGTCTGTCTGAGCAAAAATTGGTGCCTGCCACTGGACTCAGGCCAGGTGGTTTCAGGTGCTGGAGGCACTGGGGTCTCAGTGTCACCCACTGGAGCACCTGGGGTCTTTACCCTCCAGCCAAGGGGCAGGAGCACTGTGGGTCCCAAAGCTGGTGGGTGCAGGCTCCCTGCTGGCATCCAGGGGCAGGTGCCTGTCCCTGTCCTGCCTAAACCAGGTAGGCGTGTGTGTCTGTGTTTGCAAACTAGTTATAAAATGGAGTTCAAGTCTGGATACAGTGAAAATATGAGGCAGCTGGGTGTGCTGAGATGCCTCCTTTCTGATTATTTGTGGTGCAGATAATTTCTGCCCTCCCCTGTCCCTTCCAGTTTTTTGTCTAAAGCCTGATACTGGATCAGAGGAGTCTGGTGTCCTGAGGAATTTAACAGTAGCTACTCAGCTGCATCTACTCAGCCAGCCAAAAACATGCAATAGGTAGATTGTTTCTTTCTCTCTTTTGCCTTCAGCTCTCTTGAGGGCAGATACTCTAAATGGCCATACGTAATCAGTCTCTATATTTGATGGTTAGCAATTTTTTCCCCCAGACATTGGCTTTTGTTTCTTTTGTCTCAGAATTGTATGCAGCCATTTGGAAAAGCCGCCTTACATTATGAAAAATCATGTTTTTGAAACAAATTCTATATTTGTAAATTGCTTCTACATCTTATTTATTATTCTGCAATTATTTAACCTAATTTTATTTCAGCTTTAATAAATATTCCAAATGTGACTGAAATTAAAGAGGACATGAACCTTGGCTTGACTCTGATACAGAACTCAAAAACTGGAGGATTTTTGGTATGTATCAAGATCATATGTAGTACACACAGAAATTCCTGAAGAGAATTAAGAAACCAGAATTCTCCACATTTTTTCATAAGTCCAAGCTAAATGTATTTTATTATGGAGCATGGATTTCTATATCCCACTGCAATTACCTAGGGTCCAAAATAAATTGTGAAACGTATCATTAATGCAGGAAAATTGTGAGATCTCTCCTTTGTTGTTTATCTAAACATCTTATCCTAATTAATGTCTCAGTAATTTAAGTCAGACAATATAGGCAAGAATATTTTGCCATTAAATTATTTAATGCAGTCTTGTATAGTTCTGATTGTACTTTCAGTGGACTTTATATAATCTCTCCTCTATCATTCACACTTGCACAGGCACTGTTCTCCTGAGGTGTCAGTATTTCTCTATTCCCTTGGATTTGTCATGTGTTTATTTGGTTAGTGACCTTGGCATTTTCTCAGAGTATATTTCACAAACCACTGTGCTAGGAGCCTGCAAAATAGAATTCTTATTTGAAAGGAAATGGATGCCTCTTTAATATGCTATTTTATGATCCTAATCATAAGCATGAAAACTCTTGGTGTGTAGGTGTATTTCAGTTTGATGTAGCCATGTGCAGTGTGTAAGTAAAACAACAAAATACAGAGATAAGAGCTCTAGGGTGTCCTTAAGCTTTGTATTTTTCAATGTGTCTTCCTAGTAATCACAAAAATATTCAAGTATTCATTAACATGTAGTTCAGTTTACTGAAGTACTTAGAAGTACACCTCATTCCAACCTTTCCAGCAGTTCTCATGTAATGAGTAAAGTTAATCATACCTTCAAACTACAGCAACAGTAATTTTCCTGACTTGTGGCTTGAAAAGGCCTTGATTAAAAAAATCTTATTCTCTCTCCTGAATAATACTTTCAATTACTGTTAATGTCCTATGCACACTCACTTTTAGTCAGTATGAGTAACTTCAGTGTTTTAAAATGTCTCATGCAGGGAAATTTGTATTTTCTAATAACATTTGAACTTCTCTCCGTTAAAAAGTATTTCCTGATCCACGTTATTGATTGATTCTCCTTAAATTGCATGGATTAAAAAAAAAAAAGAAACAAACCCACAAAAAGCCAGGTTGAATTCTAAGACATAAACAGTCACATCTTCATCAACAAGAGTTTTGTTTTTTTTTTATATATAAGGAGAACAAGGTACTGGAGACAGGTGCTTATCTGGGACTCAACCTCAACAAATACCTAAAGCCCCATGGCTTAGTTGTGGCAGGTGTTGAACCCCATGCATGGACTGCTTGCTTGTATTTGCAAGCTGCTTTCAGCTGGGACTTTGCTCCAAGACGCTCTCTGTGGCAGCTGGCCTGTGTGATGGCTTTGGGGGTTATTTCAGGGTTTCCTCCTCCCAGCTCACCATTCTCCTTCCTCCTGTGGCCTCTCTCAGCCTCCATCTTCCTGTCCCGGTGCTCAGTCCCTGGGCTCTTTGGCTTGGGAGTGTGACTTCAGGCTGGCATGTCTGTGCTGCAGCTCCTGAGTCCTGCTGGTTCGGCTGTTGGATGGCAGGGGAATGCTTCCCACAGGTATTCTAAGTACAAGGCAGTAATTTCCCACACTTTCATTACATTTTTCTGAGGCATGCTTAGTCCTGTTGGAGAGGTGCTGAAGAATTTCACTGACAGTTAACAAAGTTTTTCTGGATTTCCAATCTATATTTTTATCAGATTGTTTACTGGGCAGTGCTGCGCCTTTAGTTGAAAGCAGCAGCTCTCATCTCCCTGCATGTAAAATCTCCCTTTTCTATCTGACAGCTCACAACCACCTTTCTCCTTTGCCTTGCTAAACAAATACAGAGTTTTTTGGCTGAAATGTTCTTTTTAAAATATGTCTCTCTCAAACATCAGTGATCAGGTCTCTGCTGTATTCCATTTGAGTCTTTCCTGGGCACTACAGTGTACTTGGTATTTCTCCGACTCAATAGCTTCTTGTCACACATCTTTAAGCCATATTTGCTTTGTATGCTGGCCGCATGTTTGCAGATACCCTGCAGTCATCCTGTGCCCAATCCATGCGCTTTTCTCCCTTCCATTCAATTACCTTCCAGTTTATGCCCAATTTCCTAATGTTAGTCCTGAAGGGCAAGTCTCTGCCCCTTTATAACTTTGTGCCTTTCAAGTTCATCTGTCCTTGATATGTGATCTCCCCTTCAGTAATGATGCATCTTAAATTTCTGACTTAAGCAAATGCTAGAACATTAATTTCTCCCCTTTTTTGTTCCTCAGATGATCAACAAAAATTATTAGAATACTTTTGCTTTTTGCTCCAAGATTGACATTACTTGAACTACCACCAATACAGAAAAAAAGTTAGAAAATGGGCAAATAAGACTGATCTAAAAAGAACTTTTTATTAATTTTAAAGGCTAGTAACTCTCCTCCAGCTTCAAAGAGATGATTTATTTTGTACCTTTCACCTCTATAAAAATCTATCTTTTTCAGTATGAGCAAACCATGCCTCGTGTAGCAGCTATAAAAAGCACTTATCTCAGGATCAGATAATGTGGATATACTTCCTTTCTCATCTAGAAAATCCGCCATCTGGTCAAATATCTTAGGATAGTTTGATGTTGTCTCTCAGTGAGAAACCAGTGGGTGATTTAGCTCATTTTCAACTTACTTTTGAATTTACTTTTTTCTGCTCTCTGGTATTCTTGAGAAAAGTCCCTCTTTTCCTAAATAAAGGTGGGTGCAACCAGAGTGTATATATAAGGAAGCTATAATTTCTCACAGAACGGTTGGAGAGAGGTTATGTAGAGGTTATGTTTATTTCCTCGAGTTTATAATGTTTTCTTTGAACAAGGAAATACACCCACATCGACTCGCCACCCCAACCCACACACACACACACACACACACAGCTCCCCCTATATTCTCACGGCAAGATACCGTCTTAATATGTGGTTGCTATCAGTACATATAAAAATGTATAAAGACGTAAATGACAGCAGGTTGATCCAGCTGAAAATACTTCTATTTCAGGAGACCGTTTCCAGCAGCGAAGCAGGGTCATTTTCTCCCAAAGCCAACAAAACACGTAGCGGGGGGGATGCGCGGCCAGGGGCAGACCTCTCCCGCTGGTGTGGCTGAATGGGACGGTGCTCACCGCGAGGCGGGAGGTGGTGCAGCTCGCCCCGTGGATGCGAGGTGAATTCCCGCTGGGAGGAGGTCTGCGGAGGGCTCCGAGCTGCCGCCCCGCTCCGCTCCCGGTCCCGCTCCGCTCCCGCCCGGGCGGGCCGCGGGGCGCTGCCGCCACCCGGCGGCCGCCGGCGGCGCTGCAGCGGGCCCGCGGGAATGGCGCTCCTGGGGGAGCTGGGTCAGAGGGTGACGCCGGCTGTGCCCGCACCGACAGAGCCTCGCTGATCCCATGTGCCTGCCGTCCTGCTGGTGGTAGCTTTGTGTATAGATATGGCGAGACAAGTATCTGTTATTTTTATCGTTTCTTTTTGCTGCTATTTTTTTCAAGACTTGTGGTCCCTTGTGGGCACAGCAGTGTGGAAGACAATACTACGCAACAGGAGTTTGTTCTGAAATCAGCCCAAGTTTTGAGATCCTAAGAAGCTTTTCTCCAGCTGTTCAAAGTAAGGCAACATGTTCAAAACAGATTCAATTTCAAACAAACAAACATATCAAACAAAATCAAGAGATATTGTGCTGGGGACTGTTAATTTTGATATCTTAAAGAAAAAAGTATGTGCCAAAAGCAAAATCCTGGGATTGATATGCAAAGACTGACAAATTGCAACCCAATGCTGATGTAAATATGGTCTTAATCATCTGTATACAGAGGTATTATGCCAGTGCAGGCTTAAAACCTGCGTATTCTCCTATCGTGAGTTCTCATTCTGGCAAAGCCTCCTGATCTGAAGTTTTGCCTGTGTGAAACCTAAATAGGCACCTCTGGATTTAACTGAGCAGTATATTGAGGCTGCAGATGCATTTAATGTCCATTTCCTATTTTTGTTTTAGAGTGTTCCTCTGTTATAGATGTTGTGGTGGTTTGTGATGAGTCAAACAGCATTTATCCCTGGGATGCAGTGCGGGCGTTTTTGAAAAAATTTGTACAAGGCTTAGACATAGGCCTTAACAAGACCCAGGTAAGTTAAAGACATATTTGAGAAATACCAAAAAAATCCAAACAAAACCTAAACCAACCAATTTTAAAGAAAACCAAACATGATTTTGTGTAACTACAGTACCTCAATCAAAGACACAAATTATCCTACTTGGTTATCCTACTCAGTGTTGGGAATTTTATCTCATAGTTATCCTATTTCAAAAGGGATTAGTAATTTGATCCAAAACATAAATTAACTGAAATAGAAGTCTGTGTTGTATCTAGGGGAGTCAGATCTCTTTCACGCATTAGATGTAAAAGTAATTGAAAATAGTCTTTGGGGATGTGATAAAAGTAGAACATACTTTTAATGGACGTTTCATATGACTCTTACTTTCCAAAGCTGCATCTTTAAAACAGGAACTTTTCCTGCTGCTTTACTCACTGATCTTTGAGGGTTTTTTTTGCTTTTGATTTGATGATGGTAAGGAAAATGTTATTGCCTTTTTTGTTTTAAACATATTCTGTTTTTACAGTTGTCCATTTTCCCTAAACAGTTCTGAGAACAAAGACTGGGGCACTGGAAATCTCTCTCCCAAAGGCTGCCTTCTTCCTTTGGCTACTTTGGAAGTGAGGTGCTTAAAAGCTAGGCTTCCTGCTCAGTTACTTCTGAACCTCACCTTTAGCATCTTCTCTTTTTTCCCTTTGTTTTAAATGCACATCTTATCTTACATCTTTAGCTTCACCTATATTAAAAATAAGTAGGGTTTGCAGTGCTGTAAAGTAACTAACCTTTAGGACTTCCTTAGAAGAAATGAGACTGAGGTGCTGTCAGCTTGTAGAACTATTGCTATTTTCTGTTTTTTTCCCAGAGCTCCTTGTATTATTGCTATCCATCAACCCTTCCGGAAGTAACCAAGCAAACATTTAATGTCTACTATTTCAGATCATTTGCAGTAACATACTGTAGCCCATAACAAATGATACAAAGTGCAAGAGCATTTTAGCTTTCTTTGCTTTTCAAATGTGTTAATATTAATTGGTTGTATATGTGTTGAAAGGGAACTGTGCATTTGCAGACTTTTTACACCAGCCTGACGCATAAGCAATCACCATGATTCTATGTAACTAATTGTAAAGCATCATAATCTAACACCGTTTTTTTTAATTGCATAGGTGGGTTTAATTCAGTATGCTAATGATCCTCGAGTAGTCTTCAACTTGAATACATATCAAACCAAGGATGAGGTTGTTAAAGCAATGGAGAAAACGTTTCAGAAGGGAGGAGATCTCACTAATACTTTCAAAGCCATTGACAATGCAAGGTGAGCTGCATTGATGATTTACTATGCAACTATTATAACTTACATGGTGATGAGAACATCTTGAATTTCATTCCCACTGGAAGATCATGTACCCAGCGCCTCTGGAGTAGGTTCCCAGCACTAGGCAGAATCCATCAGGTACATTTACAGTGTCCCATGCAGACTGGTACAGGAATATGTAAACTAGAATTGTTGAAAAGCATAGAGTTGAACTCTGCTCTAAAGGAATTCTAGCACCCAACAGAATTGCTTGTTATGTCACATATCTCTAAACATGACAGTGCATCAGAGCAGACAAGGTTTTAGGAAAGATACAAAAATGAAAAAAGTTAAGTTTATCCAGGGATTCAGTGGGCCCAGTAACAATTGTGTTTGCAGATCAGGCTTTGGTTGATTGCAGAGAAAATAAAACCTCTTTTCTGTTGTCTGTTTGTCACTGCAGGACCATGAGTGTGAAAAAATAGGGAAAATTTAAACCAATGTTTTAGACTCTGGGCACATATACAAACTAGGTCAATTTCTCAACAGAAGATGCTGTTTTGAAGTTTAATCAAGTACAGAACTCGAGGGCAAAATACATGCTGAATTAGATGAACTTGAGAATTTTATATAGGAACAAATTCAGCTTTCAATGGAGCCAATAATTGCTGTAGTATTGAGAAGCCTATTATTAAATCTGTTCCATTCTTTTCTGAGCTTGGTGATGCTGATTCCTGTTGGCATTCCAAGTTGCTTCTTATGCACTACAGAAGTAACTTGTTCTAATTCTAAGTAATGGACACATCCATTACAGTATATGTGCTGGATTCCATCCTTTATGGATTGATGTGTGACAAACCCAATGTTTTATAACAGACAGTATGCCTTCTCAGCTGAGTCGGGAGGACGCCCAACAGCCACAAAAGTCATGGTTGTTGTGACAGACGGTGAATCACATGATGGCTCCAACTTGAAAACAGTGATAGGTAAATGCAATGAAGACAATATAACCAGATTTGGCATTGCTGTAAGTAATACTGAAATTATACATTACTGCATGTTTGAGAGGTTGTTTTGTTATGGATGTATCAAAGCACATGTTTTATACAAAAGTGGTATGTAATGCACACATTGTTACACTGGTGAGACTGAAGCAAAGTCACATTAATCCTCTGAACTGTTGGAAATTTTCACTGGATTAAAAAGCAAGACTAGAATTGCCTGAGCAACTTCAGTGATTTGTTCCCTTGCCAGGCATTATGTACTTTTCCTGTATGAATTGTCCCTTGCATAGGAATGAACTCTAATAAGTAATTGAGTAATATGAATAAAGGTAACTTTTTTGAAACTATGTACAATATTTGCTAATATAATACAGAAGGAAATTAAGTAGCACCATGATCTCTCTCTTCTTATGTTGCTCTTTGTTTCTCTACACAAGGTTTTGGGATACTTAATAAGGCATGAGCTTGATACTAAAAACTTAATTAAAGAAATCAAGGGAATTGCTAGTCATCCAACAGAAAAGTATTTCTTCAATGTGTCGTCTGAGGCTGCATTACTGGAAGAAGCAGGAACACTTGGAGAACGCATTTTTAGTATAGAAGGTAAAATACTCAACATCTTTGAAAAATTAGATCAGATTCTCCCAGCTGACAAGCATAGGATTTTATTTAGCTTCAGTTTGGTGCAGTATTGTGAAAGTGAGGGGGTAGCTTGAGCTGCAGGTTGCTCTCTGCTCACCAGAAGGGCTCTGGTTTTCACAGGTGCTCCCCCAGCTACTCCACCCCTAATTAGCCTGAGCTTTAAGTTAATTTATGCAGTTTGGGGAAAACATTCCCCAGCTAATGAAAATTTCTATCATATCATGGGCTTTAGACTTGGGAGCTTTTCCATATGCAAATGTATTTTTTACCACCAGAAAAATAAAGGTATCTTTGTGCTTGTGAGCTTTACCTGCATGAATCCTAAGATATCTTAAATTAAAAAAAGAAAAACAACAAAAAACCAAACCAAACCAAAAACAGAAAAAAAACACCAAAAAACCAAGCCAACAAAAACCCACAACCCAAACAAAGCAAACCAGCAGACTGGGTTACAGAACTGAAAAAGCAATTTGTGTCGTGCCTACCAGGCCCCCTCCCTAGTACCACCCACTCTCCTGTGTATTGCTCAGAGGAAGGTGTTGCAGAGGTGACACTGAGATACTTTGGCTGTCCCAAAAGCCAGCTTTTTCATTTAAGTTAAATTCAGACCTGGCCTTGGAGATGTGTAACCTGCCCTCAACTCCCTAAGAAGCTTATGTCTGCCACTTTCCTGTGCTCAGGAAGAAATCTTCCCTTCTCTTTCACCTTCATTTATTCTTTGCTAGGCCCATGCTGCTACTCAAAGCAAGAGAATAAGTATTTTTACTGAGTGCTCCCACTGAGTTCCTATCCATCTAGCTTAGGAAATGGATGTCACAGTACAATTGCAACAGGTTTTTTTAAGTCCTATACGAAAATAAAAATTCCTATTCTGCTTGGAAGTTGTGAATATACAGTCATTAAAGCTGTTAATTTCAGTGTGTTAATGCTTCCTGGGAAACACAAAATGAGACCAGCCACAATGGCAAGACTGTGCAAACTGATTCAAACCATCTTGAGCATCACCTTCTGCCCTTTTTTTGGAAGAAACTTATAGCATGGCTCTTGGCTCCATCTTATCAATTTGCCATTAAATCCTCCAATTTTCTACTGTTTACCAGCTCTGATTTCCATTGCTTGTAAATGCTTTAGCCAAATTGGTGGATATACACGGCCCCTATATAGCTAAACTCAGAGGCAGCAAGACTGGATTTTGTGTGTTTATGTAGAGATAACCATATATGCATATCTGTTTTACCAGGTACTGACCAAGGTGATACCTTCCAAATGGAAATGTCACAGGTGGGCTTCAGTGCATATTACTCACAAAAAAAGGTATGTGAGTTTAATTATTTAATGGTACAAATAGGTGCACATATTTACACATGAGTGTAAGAAAAGAGGAATAAAAACACAGTGTCCAGTTTTAAAACTTTTTACAAGCAGGAGAATATCAAATTATTGTTTCATTTTTTTACTTAAATATATATTAATAAGTATAGTTGCATAATAGTTTGTTTTGGGTACTAATTTTGAGATGTGTTAATACAATAATTTCAGTGATTTCTGAATCACGTAGCAAGAAAAATATAAATCCTCCTTGTTTCTGACTAGCTATATTGTAAAGCTGGTAGGCAGCTACCAAAATATAAATAAATCAAATCTTATCTCTTTTAAGAGAAAATAATTTCTCTATAAATTATAAAATTAATTATATTTGTTTAAAGCATATTTCACTTAAAAATTAGAACCAAAATATCAGATATATTTTAGTGCTAACCAATTTCAAGATTATCAAATAAGCCATTCTTATGAAATCCAAATGTGATTCAAACAGTTTTCAACTGAAAATACCAGAAGATTATTTCTTTCTCATAACACTTAAAGATGAATGAAATAATTTTTATAAAACTGAATTTGTATTTGCACAAATTGAAGTTTTAAATTTTGAAGCAGTTGATTCTAAGAAATGGAAAAAAATGAGAAAAATATGGGCATGTTTTCAGGCAAATAACACAATCAATTTTATTGCAGTTTTCTGTAACAGTGTGTCCGTTTAGTGAAGAATTTTAATAACTTGAATAAACTGAACTGTGTTTGTTTTCTGTGTACGAGTATAAGATTAAGTGTTTCTGTATGAAGTATTCTGTATAATGAGCTGTGCTAATTTGGATTTTAGATTTAACTCTTCTCTCAAGAACATCTCCTTATGTAATGAATTAAACTGTATCTATTCACATCAGCTTTTCTGTGCTGTCATTGGCACTTTTGTTGTCGAGAAAGGGACTTCAGCTTTTTTGTACAGCTGCATTTGTGTGATCCTCAGTCTTCTGAGGATCGTGGGTGCATAAAAGCATGGATTTAGCAAGCACAAGCCCAGTGTGGACAGACATAGGAAATGATCACAGTGTTTAAATAAGCCCATTTTATCATGATTTGCAGTGCCATGGGAACCAAAGCAGTCACTTATCCTCTTGCAGTAGAAGAGTGATAATCCCTCGTAATGGGACAGTAAAGTCCTGCACCTAAGAAGCAACTATGAGTAGCTCCAATCAGCTGCCTGCAGGCTTTAGTCTGCATCACTGGCTTAGGCACAGTGACGTAGGAAGCTACGCATAGGACCTTCAGCTTTGCTCACACTTTTTCTAAATCAGGTAGTTCTAAAATGAAGACTTTCCTTTTTTAAAGGATGTTCTGCTGCTGGGTGCAGTTGGGGCCTATGACTGGAGTGGAACAGTAGTTCAGGAGTCTTCAGACAGAGCCACCACCTTTCCAAGCCATGTGTTTGAGAAGATTCTACAGGACAGAAATCATAGCTCATATCTAGGTAAGGGGCTGAAATACAAATCTGGAAATGTATGAAACCTTGATTAAGATATGAAGTAAGTTGGAAGGTTCTCCCCTAGCCAGATTTGTATTAAGAAATTCTTTGAGAATGTGAAAAAAAATTTTAGTCAAAAAATATTATCTTTTACTTGTCATCAGTTCATTGAATAAAAACTTGAATTTTAAAAAAAAATCCTACTAAAAAAAGCAAAATCAGTCTTTGTCACTGCTGTGGTTTAACCCCAGCTAGCAGCTAAGCAGCCACTCAAGTCAATCCTCTTAAGAGAAATGAGAATGGGGGAGTCAGAAGAGTTAAAGTGAGGGAACTTCTGGGTTGAGATACAGACAGAGATAGTGAAAGTCAAGCATGCAAGCAAAGCAAATCAAGGGATTTGTTCAGCACTTTCCATAGGCACACAGGTGTGTTCAGCCATCTCCAGGACAGCAGGGGTCCAACACACATAACTGTGATTTGGGAAGACAAATGCCATCACACTGAACATGCCCTCCTTCCTCTTTCCTCCCCCAGCTTTACATGCTGAGCATGCCACCCTATGGAATGGGACATCCCTGTAGCCATTCCTGGACAGCTGCCCTGACTGTGTCCCCTCCCAGCTCCTTGTGACCCTCCTGGCCTCCTCGCTGGTGGGACACAGAGGAGCAGAAAAGGCTTTGACACTGCGTGAGCACTGCTCAGTAGTACCTAAAACATCCCTGTGTCATCAACACTGTTTCCAGCATAAATCCAAATCACATCTCCACACCAGTTGCTGTGAAGAACTTTAAATGTATTCTATCCAAAACCAGCACAGTCACAGAGAAATAATAAATCATGGGATTTGAAAAGACTGCTTAGTGAATCATACTGATCATTATGAGTTGCTTCTGATACACAGTTCGATGTGGATGAGAAGCTGATTGATCTTCTGTTGTTTCATGTGTGCTTGCTGTTCTCTTAGCCTTTTCCAGTTCAGTTTATAGATTTTGAATATTGCTGCCACTCAATAGAGGATTTACTTACAATCTCCATGTGTATTTTTGACATGCTTTTATGACCCAATAAAGCCAGTCTGTATTCTCAGTTCCTTGGAACTATTTTCGGTAACTGTTTTTCAACATGCCTACTCTGCTGTTCCATCCCTGAATAATGCTACTACATTAAGCATCTATGACTTTCTCATTCTTAAAGATATTTAATAATGTGCTCTTTTTGCAACTAACATACTCTCTTTTTCCACTATGGCTCAGCATTACTTGCATCCAACAAAATTAATAATTCTAAACCCAAGCAAATGAGCAGTAGCTCTTTGTGCACATATGACCTCTTTAGACTTTGTCTTACTTCATTTTCTTAATAATTTTTTAAAACTCAGGTAATTTCCTTACTCTACAAGGCAGTATCAGTGTATTTGCTTTAATCTTTCTGGAGCGACCAATGTTGTTGCCTTTTCTGTCCCTTTATTTCCCTTCCACTTTCTGTCCTCCAGTAGGAGATCTCCATACCAGCTCTTTCTCACCAGCGTGGAAGAGTGTAAGTTAAAGGGCTGCTAGAACATCAGTCACAGCCTGCTCAATTAGCCCCTGTTCCACACGGCACCCACTCACTTCAAATGATTGTATTCTGCCTTGATTAGGAAGGTGTGTACTTAACTTGCAGAATAAAATCTCATTTTGTTGTTCATTGAACTTCCAGTCACAAAAGTTGTTCTGACCCTGTGTTTGAACAAAAAATCTGAACTGGAATGGTGTGATATAAAGATCAAGGCATAATCCTTTTAGACTGCTCCTCATATTGTTCTGCAGCTTGCTAAAGATCTGCAAATTCTGTCCTATCACTGGCATTTTATTATTCATTGTAGACTTTATAAAGAATGACTTTGTTTTCTTTGCTTAAAATAAATTTGCTAGAACTAAACCACAGAAAACTAAAGCATGTACTAATGCTAGATTTATACTGCTAATACATGTTTACATTTTTACAAGTATTAAATGACATTTCCTGAAAGCAAATAAATGCTATAATAATGGTAATGAGGATTAAAATGTTCTAAGAAGTTCAATCAGCCCTTCAGCTGACAAGCTGCTAATGTAGCCTGTTCTATTCAGACAAACCACTGATCTGTGCTTTAGTGAGCTGTGGGAAAATGCACTGCAAACTTTACAGAAGCTAGGTGTTCCTCCCTAGTTTGAAGACTGATTCAAACATTCATCTCATATTTCTCTTTATTTCTTCTTTCCAAGGATACTCTTTGCACGTTTTTTCCCTGTCTCCTTCATAAGCATGACATTTTTGTGGTCTACATTTTACTGAATAGGCTAAGCTATTGTGTTATTCTGTAAACCTGCTTCAACTTGATCTGTGTGTCATTGTTCTCTCCAGCAGAATATTGCAAATTTTATGCATATGTGACAGCATAACTTCCCATGTGGAATCATCACTCTGTGCAATTAACATACCAGATTGACTCATCCTCTGTGCCTTTATGGCTAACCAGCTGATAAATTGTGATTGCATATCTCTCACATATGTTACATGTTGACTTCTATACCCAGGTTATTCTGTTGCTGTTCTCTCAACTATGAGCTCTGTCTATTTTGTTGCTGGCGCACCAAGATCCAACTACACTGGCAGAGTGGTGGTTTATAATGTTGACAGTGATGGTAATGTTGCAATTGTGCAATCACAGAGAGGAGAGCAGGCAAGTATATTTTGGTCATGAATACAGACTTTCAGGAATCGTTTTTTATTGACCCATCAGTAAATTACAATTTGTTTTGAAAATTCTTCTTTGTCTCAAAGCATTTGCAATCCACTTGAACTTTTCTCTGCCACTAGACTATTTCAATGAGGTTAGCTGTAACTTTTAAACTGTATTTTAGGAAGTCATCCAATTAGTGGCAGAAGATAATATACAAATCTAACTAATGTATCCTTCTGTCAGCAATACAAATCAGGAGATGGAAATTCAGTAAACTCTGCTCTGCCTGAGAAGTTATGAAGTAGCTGACATGAGAAGACAGATATGGAAACTCAATCACTTTTTCTCTGTTTGGAAAAGAGGAATTGTTTTAGTTGGTTTTGGTATCATCTTTAAGACAAATCTGAGAGTAGATCAGAGGCTGGATAGTTTCATGTGCAGTTATAAAAAATATATACCTCCCATATCTTAGTTTCTGTTGGCATTTGTATTACTGAGTGGTAAAGCCATAGCGACTACGGGACAGAAATAGTGAAATATGAGTAAGGATATGATTCTTCCAACAATGGAGCATGCTACAAAGTAATTTAATTCCTCAACATTCAGTAGCATTGGAATATTACTGGATGTAAGTTTTCTGAATCAGGTGCTAAAACATGATTTAGAAAAACCATATACAGCGACAACCTATTTACTTCTGATTTCAGATTGGCTCCTACTTTGGCAGTGTGGTGTGTTCAGTTGATGTTGACAGGGATTCTGTGACAGATGTGCTGCTTGTGGGTGCACCAATGTTTATGAATGACCTGAAGAAGGAAGAAGGGAGAGTATACATGTTTTCCATCACAAAGGTAAAAATGGCTCAAGCCCTAAACGCTGCTTAGGGCTAATTTCTTTCAAATCAGATTGGCCACATGCATACTTAAAAGGCCTTTGGCTCCTCCAGATCCTCAAAGTCACTATTTAGTGAATATTTTCAAAGTGTTAGACATCTTTCAAGTGACTTTTTTCTTTTAATAAGAAACAGAGCACATGCTTATCCTGGGATGTCGCATAAGGGCAGGGATGAATGGTGCCAAGCCTTCCTGGTTAGAGGGATGTGTGTGGAGACCTTTCCAATGCTGCCTTTCATGTTCTGCTTTTCAGTAGCAGCTGCAAACTTGCCCCAGAACTGCTTGTGCATGTAATCTGGGAATTAGGCATCTGGAACAGACCAAAATGGAGCCAGCAAGCAAGGCAGTAGCTAAGCACTGTTAGTGGTCAGGGGCCTGGTGCTCTCAGTGTCTCCCTGGTCCTGGTGTCAGGCCATGTGCTTCATGCTAATACAGCATGGGTTGGCTGTATCTCTGAAAAACATAGCTTAAGGCTTTTATTAAGTAATTTGCCATTTGTTTTTTGTGAATGTATTCAATGCCTGACAGTATTCCCAAAGCAGTTCTAAGAAATGCTCTTCTACCAGCTTTCTGCATTGTTTCATAGACTCTAACACTGGATGGTTACCATAACTCTTGTTGTCCCCTCTGTTCAGTAAACCTTAGTTATTTATCTGATGCTTGACTGACAGTGCTTTTTATTCAGACCTGTAGTAGGTGTTTTTAGGATATATGTATAAACCATACTGAGCCCTCTGGCATTTTTGAACAGTCTTTCATTCACTGGATGTCTGCCAAGTAAATTAATATCTGACATCCATCAGAGAAAACAGAAAATGGTGTCTTTACTAGGTAAATTGCAATTAAGTAAATAGAGAGGAAGGACCATGCTCCATAGCAGGATCTCAGTCAGAGTATCCTGATGCAACAGGAAATGACCCTAAAACAATTTTAAGGTCAATGGAGGAGCTGAAAGTTTGCAGCTGACATTGGTCTTTTGCCTGTGGTATCAGACATAAGATATGGAAGAAAAGAAAAACTAAAGGATTTTTTAAAATTTGCTTTTTAAAACCAAACAATTTGGATGACTATCTTAAAATCTTTAGTTGTTGTCAAATGTTGGGTTTAAATTTTAAATAAGAAAGAATGATGAAAGGTACTTTTAATCTTTTTTTAAGAATAATCTCAATTTGTGCAAGTTGCACAAGCAATACTTTTCTAGTCATTTTTAATAAATAACTTGGCTATTATTTCTAAAATTTTAAGACAGTATGGCAACTGAAGTTAAAGGTGAGAATGCTATTTGCCAGAGTTGCATTTAATCTAAGGTAAATGGGATTATTTAACTATGAAGATCTCCAATCTTTCTTCATTGGCATTGGAGAGGTCAGGAGTTTACCATTTGGACACATGTTTTTTGCATTAGTTTAGTAAGGAAATTCCATTTCTGTTTCAAAGAATTATGTCCAGTTACATAATTTCCATTCCCTCTGCATAAAAACCAGTAATCCAAAACTGGAAACTGTATTTTTCAATGTATTGTGAAACTTCAGAACAGTCAGATGAGGACAGAGAGAGCATTTAAGCTTCATACATATGGTTATATTTGCTGTTAGTACTTTGCATAGCATGCTTTGATTTTGCTGTGTAATTCTTGCCAAGACTTTGAGACATAATGCAAACTGAATGGGCAATACAATGGGGAAGGAATTCAATGTTGAGCTATCTGAGGGGAATGTACTGGAAAACAGAAACAAAAAACAATGCACATAGATAGATAGATTAGATAGGTCTAATCTGGTGCAATGGTAGCTGTGTTTCTGCTTTTTCTTATTTTTCAATTTTTAAAGAGAATCTTGGATCAACAAGAACTCTTGGAAGGTCCACAGGGGTCAGAAAATGCACGCTTTGGATCAGCAATCACAGCACTTGCAGACATTGATTTGGATGGTTCTAATGATGTCGTAATAGGTGCGCCACTGGAAAACCAAAACTCTGGAGCAATTTATATTTATAATGGATTTCAAAAGACTATACGTACTAAATATTCTCAGGTAAATAACTGTTGCGTAATGCTGTACTCGGTGCCTTTAAATGTGCTAGAGGAAAACAGAAGGTCTTCTGTGCTTTAGTTGGGTATTGTTTCAACCTCTTAAATGAATACTGTTATTCTCATGGTTTATTTCACATTTTGTGACTATCCTCCTTTCAGCTGTCAACATATCCAGGCTGATGTTGTGGTGCTTATAAATGAACCATATAAGGTTCATTTGCATGAGAATGCAAAATGCTCATTCTGAGCCATTTTTGATACCTGAGTGTGAAGTCAACTACTGCCCTAAAACTGACACTCATTATTTTCAGGTTTTTAGTGCTGATGTACAGCAATGAAGATTAGATAAATCCCAGCTCTGCGAATTACAAATACACAGTATTAAAGCAAAAGTCTTTCACTGGTCTTCATATATACTATAATGGTAATCTTATTATCTCTTTGTATGCAGATTTTCTGGTTGCAGCAAGTATTTGTTAGAACTCTTACTAAGCTTCATATTCTCAGAGTTGCTCAATGTGAGATGGAAAAAGTTTCCAGCTGTATCTGGCACACAGCAGTCAGTTGATCTGCTCCCAAGACAGAAAAATCTAGTCTTTTGTCTGCTCCAACAGAGGAGAAAGAAGTGTTACAAAAGCATCTGAGAAAACGCCCACAAATGCATTTTGTTTAAACAATACATTGCATATACAGGGAGTATCAGTTAAAATCAGGCTACTATTTGTGGACTTAAACATGATTTGGCAAACTCAGTAATCAAACTCTTTCCCAGAAAATCTTAGGATCGGATCCTGCTTTTGGACAAAAGCTCCAGTTCTTTGGAAGATCAGTAGATGGCCATAGAGACTTAGACGACGATGGCATTACTGACATATCAGTTGGTGCTGATGGAAATGTGGTTGTGCTATGGTAAGTATACTCTTTCTTAGAAAGGAAGCAGTTACTGCTTCAGATGCAGCAGCTGAACATGCAGTAAATTAAACAGGAAAAATAAGCAAATTAAAAAGCTCTTTTGTTCAACGTGTTCAGTGCTAGCACACTTACTGCCTCATCACTGCTATCAAAACTAGCTAAAAAAAAGAGCATTAGACTAAATCTCTTTTAGGCATTTATCATTAAACCACTGAAAGCCAAGGCAGCACACAGGGCAGAGCCAGGACATGTGGGAGGAAGGTGGCTGGGAGGGACCTGACCAGGAATGAGAGGGCCAGGAGACATCTGCCTGCTACTGCTGTGCAGACACATGGTCCAGAGGGAAGGGACAGCAGTGGGGAATGGGGCTTGATGGAGGGTATTTGTAGCAGGTTGTGCACCTCAGTAGCCACAGTATAATTTTGATAGCTGAGCCTGAGACAGATGAAACCACGTCTCACACAACCTGTGTGACCTTTACTAGCTGATAGCTGGTATGGGGGGAGCGTTGTCCTGCAGGGTAAGGACAGAGAGCAGTAATAGAGTTGACAACTAGTTCTGGTAAGAAACACATTTGTAATGGCACATTGCCTTTGCCACAGAAGTTGGAGTGCTTTCACAAAATATAAAAAGGTTTCACAGAAACCAAATCATCTGCCTGCCTAAGTAGGCTGTGATTTCCACTCTTTGCTTGAGGAACTAAATTCAAATGCTGTTTCCTTTCCTATCTGTTGCCTGTCTTCATGCCTAAGGCTCCCCATTGTAAGAAAAATACCAGTGAATTGCTACTTCTTTCATAATGAAACCAGTTAATTAAAAATGAATGGTCAGTTTGGACTTTTGACTGCTGCTGCTGGGAATTTTATTAAAGAAAATTATGCTCCTTGAAGTACCAGCATTTATTTCGATTTTATTAATGAAGGTGATCATTCTTCTTTCACTCTTACATTTGGGCTGATTAAGGCATTTCATTTTGATTAAAATGTTTGTTTTTACATGTAGGGTTCCTTTGAAACTCTTCTTCAAAATCTTGATTAATTACACCAAAGTTCTTTTTCAGAAAAATTACATTATTAAATAATGAAGAATTACCCATTCTCACCTCCCCAGAAGAGCAGAAGGTTACTTATGTGGAAAATAGGCCAAGAGCTTCATTCTCTGATACCATGAGGGATTCATTAGAACATAGGATGAAGCCATCAATCAGCCATTAACTTGACATGAAACTACATATCATTATTACTATAAGCAGTGATATCAACAAATTCATGTATACCTAAGGAAAAATAATTTTACTAGTGCCATTAAAAGAAGTTGACATTGGGAACCAAAAAAAAAAAAAAAATCAATACTAACATTTACAGAGAATGTTAGACAACAGCTTCTATGTTACCTAGTGTTCTTCAAAAACCCATGTAACTTTTAAAACATATTTGTCAGGTCAAGAAGCATTGCAAATGTGTCCATAACTGCTTCATTTAAACCTGAGAAAATCAGTCTGCTGAACAAGAATACGGATATAACTGTCAAAATATGTTTTCAGGCTTCATTTAGACCTGCTAAGAAAAATAATCAAGTAGGTAAGAGTATTTCAATTATTTTTCTTATATTACTTTCTTAAAAAGTCCATTATTTAAATGAGCAATGAAAAGTCCAATTATGTATTAGATTGAATGTCAAGAATCACAAAATCAATGTAAAACCTAAGTGCTTGAGAAAGTGTTTTTAAGACCTAATTCATCACTGGCTCCATACTCTTTGAAAAGTGGGGAATTAACAGTATAGAGAACAGCTGTGTCCTTGATGTTCAACAATCCCCAGAAATGTATTTCATGAGGAGCTATGTTCATCCAATCTTCTGTTTTCAACAGCAGACTGCATACTTTTCCTCTTCAGAAAAAGAAAATCAAATATTTTACAGAGTGTCAGAGCAGTTTTCAGTAGGAGGAAGCTCTTCTTTTCAGAGCACAATGAATATTTCTGTGACCAGCAGTGGGCTCCCATGAAGTTTTTAAGTTCAGTCTCAGAGACAAGACCAGTTGGACTGCTTCAGTGCTACATAAAGTGCCTTTAGGAACTCATGATTTTAAGCTGTAAAATAACAATGAATTTCCACAACATAATAGTCATAAAATAAAGAGGAGGTGGCAGAAAGTGTTATGTGATTGAAGAGAAGATGCAGATTCTTTAAAGTCACCTCTGAGTTCAGTGATATTGTTGCAAGGCTGCTTTATCTAGAATAACCCTGGTCCTGCTGACTGGCTTCTTGCCTGAGCTGCAGGCTCAGACATCTGCAGTGGAGGCTGGATTGATTGCCATTTAATGTGCCCCTTGCAGATCAAGACCTAAACCTGTTTGACTGCTTTGGAAAACATAAGAGAAAGTATTTTCATTTTGAAACTGCCCTGTGTTTAGCTATGAAAAATATAAAATACTTAGTGTGGTTTAGAAAGCCTGGTCCCTGTAATATCGAGCACAGTAATGAGATCACAGGCAACCATGCTCAGTCAAAAATGTACTGTTATTCTTCTTGTAGCTCTAAAGTACAATGCAACATTGGATGCAGATCTCCAGTCCTCCAGAGTGACTTCTAGAGGATTTTTCAAAGAAAGTAATGAAAGGTACATGCAGAGGGATCTTGTGGTGCATCATGAAGAGAATTGTGTTCATGATGTCTTCAGTGTACAAGTAAGTGCAATTGCAAGTACTCTTGCATAGCAAAAGATCAGAAGAATGCATGGATAAATTTTTTGTCTGTAATGTGAATTTCATGCATGGTGTACTGAATTATTTATGTTTCCCAAATACCCACAGCTGAGAAATACTTAATAAGATTATGATTTCATAGAAACTAATAAATGTCATATTCAGTACAGATTTTTAGTATAGGAAAGAGGGTTCCTAATTGTGTTATTCAGCTTTGGTGTAATATAGAGCCCATGGTCTATAGTTTAAATAGATTTTAATTTCCCTCTGAGTAGACTCTTCTGTAAGAACTAAAACATACATGCAAATGTTTTCTTCAAACTAACATTCAGGCAGACTTGGATGCATTCTAACCCCCGGTACACACCAAGGAATTGAATAAAATTAGCAGGTATCTATGTTTCTCCAGAACTAAAGCCTGAACACAGCCCTGAAAATTGCCTTAAACTCTGTTGCATGATGCTAGGTCAGGTAGAGGACTTCTGTCCCTGCTCTGGTTTGCAGTGACCTATTGATCACATTTAGTGCCATGTGGAGCAGAGAGCCATAGGACTAGAAGGCGAGAAAAAAAGGAAACATAGCATTTACTGTATTTTAGTGTCACTCAGGCCCAGATGCTCTTTGTGATCGTAAGGCAGAGTGGAATAGGAATTTGACTTCTGCAGCTAGACGAGAATGAAAGCTACATAGTGATGGCATTGAGAACCAGCTCCTACAGCTGCAGACAATCTGCATGTTCCTTAGCCCTAGTAGTTACTTTGATGTGCACAGTCTCCAGGAATCCTAGAAAAATCAGCTTTATTATGGAAATCACATTGAAAGCTGTTAATCTTGAGGAATCCACACTAGTCAATCTCACAAAATTATTTTCTTTAAGAAATGAAGCTTTGAACTGTTGCTTCTCCTTTTTTGGAGCAAGTATTATTTTACTGCACATTCTCAATTCACAATAGAAATTATCATTTTTACCCTGTCTTCTGTGCTGGCAGCCATTATCTGAACCATGCATGTTTTACAGGAGCCTTCAGATGCAGTGAATTCACTTAGTTTGCGCATTGACATTGGCCTTGCAAATCCTGGCTCCAGCCCTGTCCTGGATATATCTTCTCCAGCATCTGTGGCCTATAGTGTAAGTATACTATTCATGGCCATACACATCCATAATGTGTGGCCCCAACAAACACCAAAGAGGTACATGCAAGTGAAAACTGGTGCTCTGAGTAAGTCACATGGAGGGGTGTTCCCTGGTTCCTTTCATTCCTTTGCCTGTATTACATGAGCTTGCTCACACACACACACACACACACCAGCCACCATAGCACATAACAAGCATATAGTTCAGCCATGTTACCATTGATGTGAACTTCTAGTTGATGGCAAAGACAAATTCTTTCAGTTTTATCTACAGTAAAAAAGTACATAGAAGAGAGATGGAACTAATTTGACTACATCACCTTTGCTGTTGTTGAAGAGTAACCTGTCTGTACAGTTCTTGGATCAGTTGAGATGTAGCAACACATTATTCACTTCACTCATTCACTTGTCAATATTTTTCATGTCCTTCAGAGGGTTTTCATGTCCTAACAGGATTTTATCTACAAGCCAAGAACGTGCTTCAGCTTGAAGGTGTTTGTACTCTGGTGTCTTCAGATAATGTTAAAGGTTGAGCCCTGTCATTTAGGAAATGTTTTTGTTTTTACTAGATTCCTTTTATTAAAGACTGCGGTGAAGATGAACTTTGTATCTGCGATCTTGTTCTGAATGTTCAGCAGAAGGCAGATGACAGGTAAGAGCTGAATCAGTGGAACTGTTAAGACCCAGTGTTTTCAACAGTTGGTTTGTCCGTAGGCTTTGGATTAATTTCTAGAGGAGAACACCTTTCCACTTTAACATCTACTTAGAAACAGCACCGATAAAAAAAGCAATGGCATTTTAATCTAAATTTAATCAAGGAAAAAGAGGTAGGATAGGAACACAGACACAGAAGTAGGACTCTTGTCAGCTTAGACCAACCCAAGTTTTGGTACCTTAGAGATGAGCACATAGTGATTATTTAACAAATTGTGTCTGACTGGCTGCTGTTGGGAAAGGGAGCATAAAGAGAGAGCAGCAGCAGCTGCAGCAGCTGTCTTCATCCCTCCTGCAGGGAGCAGTGAGGATCCTGCAGTAGCTGTGCCAGGGGAGTTGTGGTCAGCTATTTGGGCAGCCCATATTCTAAGTCCACGTCAAATGTATATGCACATATGTACATCACAGAAATAAGGCTGCCCATGTATGCTGCCTGCTCTGTCCACCTTCCCACCAGGGTAGACCCCTTGAAAATTCAGCAGTCACTTTGACAACACATAGTCAAAGCGCTGCACTTTTGGAATACAATAATTCTATCTGGTTTTAGGAAACACCATCGCAGATTTTTTTACACCAAGGGGTTTAGAAAGCAGGGCGTTTAAGTTTGTACAATGTAGGAAATGTCTTGCTGTGCTTGCTATTTGTTGTGGGCTTTGGGTAACACATTTTCCTCATCCACAGCTGTTCTAGTACCTCTATTTACAACAATGGACTTTATTTTCCAACAGCAAACAACAGTTTATTGTCAGCAGCAAAAACAGAAGACTAACATTCAATGTGAAATTGAGAAATAAAAAGGAAAATGCATATAACACCAGAATCCAGGCTACATTTTCAGACAACTTGTTTTTTGCTTCATCTTCTTTACCGGTGCGTGATACCCAACTTCACTGTTTCTGTTATTGCCCCTGATTTTTGAGGTTCTCAGAGAAATTTCTTTTTTCCTTTCTAGCAGTGCCTGTTCCAGAAAAGAATGTGTGTACAAAACTCTCTCACAATTTGTTTTCTTGGATACCAGAATTATTCCCCCGGCATATCAGTTTATTTAGGTCAAGGAGAGATATTTCCAACTCAGCATAAAAGCTGGCAACTTTTTGAGTTTGACCTCACCTCAGACATCTTTTCCTCACTTTAGGCCTTGGCACCCACATCTACTTCTTAAGTCCCAGCAGCATGCCTGAAGCAGTTGCTGTGCCACAGGGAATTTGTATTTGATAAATCAGACATGCAGCATTGATGATGAATCCTTAAAACACAGACTTGGGATCTAGAAATAGTGTTACTGCCAAGGCCATGTAATCAGTGCCTTGACAGTTAATCAGATTGACATGATGGCTAATACCAAAAGCTCCTCTTCCAACAAATTTTATCTCAGAGAAAGCAAAAGAGAGGAATTATTGGGGAATGCAGCATACCTATAATTTAAATTGTTGCTCCCAATTCAAGGATGAAATGCAGATTTCAGTGCTTGGTTTATATGGTCAGGCTCCTACTGGAGAGGTGCGTGATAATCCTGGGGGTGAAATCCAGAGCAATCCCTGTACTGAAGGGAGAGGAGGGATAGCATTCATTCCTGCCCAAGAGCAGCATTATTCTGAACAATGAATTGGCAAAAGTACTGCACACAGCGCTGGGGGTGCCCCTCTACCTCCCCATCCTGTTGTGCAGCAGGATTGTTCATTTCACTCCTGCCAAAAGACCACACTGGAGCTAGAATTTTCTTTTGCTTTAAAAGCCTTCTTGCTTAGAAGCACTTCAGCCTGCAAGTGAAGTTTGGACGAAAAGTGTGCCTGCTTTAAGGTGGGAAGAAAAATGTAAACTGAGAATCTACTTATGGGTCTTTTTGGAGGTTTTGTTTTGAGGGTTTTTTTGGTAGCACAATTCATGAATAGTAAATGTCCACTAGGAATGTTTTTTACAAAAGACAGTAGTTTTTAATAAATTATTTTCCAAGGGTTGATAACTGGCTCTGGTTTTTGAATTTGTCTTTGAATCAAGGATGATGACAAGCCAATATTTTAGAAAGTAGTAAACAAACTGTTATGTATGGCAGATTTTCCTACAGAATGTTTGATTTCTTCCACTCTAAGATTGTGTAAATATGTCTGCAAAGTTCTGTAAAAATTCTGTAAAAAATGATTCATAGAAGTAAGTGGTCGAGCTGACCTGTACTCTCTGGCCTCTATTCCTTCTTCCAAGCTCAGCAAAAAGTTCTAGTAAGATGATTGCAGCCCACAAGAAACCGAGTGGGAATGGTCCTTGTCCCACCTTCCTTGTGACTTCCTCCTGGCCTTGCCTATGACCCACCTATCTGTTGCATCTCCTGGATTTACTGCCATAGCACCTATTTTCACTCCTCCGTAGTATAATACATATGCTGTTGAAGGTACACACCTCTCTGCTTTATCAAAACCTGAAATAACATGGTGTTTCTGTCTGTTTTCTTTGCAGAGTGATGGGACTGAAGTCTTGTGTCAAACAGGAACAGCACAAAGTACAGTCATTTGCCAAATAAGCTATCCTGTTTTCAGAACAGGACAGCAGGTACATCTAGCATGTTTAAATAACCTTGAATGATACCCAAAACCTTCTCTGCTGTTGTTTTTCCATAACTCTGCATTTATTGCTGATAAGGGCTTCTTAGATTTTACAACAGAGGTATTAAAACAAGCAAACTAGGGTTTAACATTTGTGACTCCCTGTCACATTAAAGGACAAAGGGCTCTCAAAGCTCATTTGTCACAGCCCACAGCTTCCAAATGCTGCTGCAGTAATATAACTTTTGGAGAGTGAAAGTTGGGCGCAGAGAAGCATAGAGCATCATATGCAGGCTCCTAAGAAGTGTGCACAATTCCCATTAAATCCTTTCTGCAGTGTTAACCTGGAGTAACTCCCTCACCTGCTCCGTGAATCTTATCTCTCCAAGTATTGTTTTGGGAGGAGATGGGAGGCCCACACACCCCCAAGATGAATTGTGTATCGTCTTTTTCCATATATACCATAAACCTCATGATATCCACAATTTCATGGAATCTCTTATTCCTCAAGGGTAGAACAGAAACAGGGTTCTAGCCTCTAACATAATCAGCTAGAGCAACAAGAAACTTGCTTGAAAGAACAGAAACATTAAGTTATTCTATACATTATATAGAATATATACTATATATATTCTATATATATATACACATGTATATTTTTCTATATAATATACATGTTTATTATATATATACATGTATATTATTCTATATGTGACATATAAAATAATAGTTAAAAAAACCCCATACATAGAAAGTTAAGCTTGTTCTCAATGTTAATGGAATTGCTCAAAGTGGACCTGCGGGAACAAATGGAAGAAAAGAGTGAATACAAAGCTTGTGTTAATGCTAGAGTTTAAAATGAAGGAATTGTGAACACCTTTTGTTGCAGTTTACAGCTAGTTGTACACAATTTTAAAATGCAAATAACTCATGTTTATGTATTAATGCCAACTTGAAGGGGAATTTAAGAACAAATCAATTCTGAATATTAAGAAATTATCAAAATATTACACTGAAATCTGTAGAGAATTCAGATACAGAGGGCAGTTCTAGACTGTTACACACATGAATAATGTCCTTCAGGATGTTGTACCAACTCATTTACTTTGTGTTCCTTGTCTCTTCCATAGGTATCCTTTGATATTAACTTTAATTTTAACCTTAAAAATCTTCAGAATGTGGCAGTTCTAAGTTTTCATACATGGAGGTAAAGTACATAATGATATGAAAGCAAGTTAGGTATTAAAAGCTTATTTGTATAAAACAACATTACACCTGACTCAAATGTGTTTTGATGAACAGTGAAAGTAAGGAACAGCAAGACTCGGACAACCAGGTCACCTTATCAATTCCTTTGCGATATGATGCAGAAATTCATTTCACAAGGTATGCTGATTTATGTAAATAGACACAGTTATTTTGCCAAGCTACTTGAACTAACAGTCTTAAAAGGCCATTAAAATATAGCGAAGCTTTGCTTTGGTTTTGGAAGTCATAAGAAATTACCTCTTCACGAGTAGTAGCAGATTTTTTTGTCCATCCTTCCAACCAAACTTATATGTAAATTTAGGAAAGTTGTGGACTCATGTTTACCTCCCAAAACTTGTTACAGGTGCTTCTGTGAACAGAATTGATATAAAGGCCAAACAGTGCATTTGGTTTTGGTAACATAAATAGTATATACTGTATAATAAAATTGAGCTTCTTGGCTCAAATATAATGACATGGGATCAAATCTGGAATTACTGTGATTAAATCTAAACAAAAGAATCTCAAAAGGAAAAATATTACCCCCTCAGTAAAGGAGGGAAAGAAAAAAAGAGAAAAAAATATGGATGTATCTGCTAAACCTGGAGCAAGAATATAATTTTTTTATCAGTTTGAGATAATGATTTGAACTAAAACCTGAGGCACACCTGGCAGATTCTCCCTTGCTGCAGCTGCACTGGCATTGGAAGCAGACACCCTGCTTTCCCTTGCACCCATCCAGGCTCTGGCTCAAACCTACCCCCTCTACCTGGTGCCACCCCTTTCTTCTCCATGTAGAAGGCAAGTCAGGGCTGTTGGAAGAGAGATCCTTTACCCTGGGAAGGGTAATTTGTAAGGAGAGGCAGCTGAGCAGGCAGGGGGAAAGACCATGAAAAGCCTTTTAAGACCTTTTTTCTTCATATGCTCTTGAAAGTTCGTGTCTTGAGCCTGGGAAATGCTTGCTGATTTGGGATGCATTCAAACAGTAATTAGTCTGTTACTGTTCTGAACAAGAACCATTTCAGTTACAGTTTAACTCAGATTGCAACTGAAACAAAAATATATTGGTGTCACTCTCAGATCAAGGTGGGATATTTGAATTTTCATCAAAGAAAAGATTTATTTATCTCTCCCAAATACTCAATTTCTAGGATCAACGTGTCATTACAGTTAGTATATTTAGTCACCAATTCTTGGTGAAAAAATGCTTTTGCATCCCAAAGTGTTCAAAAATTAATAAATATAAATGGATATTTAAAAACCCAGTAGATATTCAGAGAATAACAGAAAGTTTAAAAAGAGGGAGCTGCTTCAAAATGCACAGCAACAATGGATCCAGAAAATTAATATTTAGAGATCACCATAGCTACAAGAACTGTTGGCTTCTGTGTAGGATGAGCTAGAATAGGGACCACAGTACAGAAGATTAGTGTTTTAATTAATCTTTGCAGAAGTAGTTTCAGAATATTGAAGGCCCTGCATCATCAATAGGTGCACCAGTCTCAGAGTCATGCGGAATTTTTGAGATTATTTTAAGTACAGAGAAGCATTTGAGTCAATGGTGCAAGTTCTTTCAGCTCCTGGAGAAAGTTGCATGAGACCTTGCTAGCAGTAGCAGAGACTGCAGGAACATCTATGCAGAGGGCTAACTTCTTAGGAAATTCAGATGCTGCCAACTTGAGTCCGTGGGTTTAATTAGCTGAGAAATATGAACTGAAATGAAATTAAATGCTTTGGAAGAAGCGAGTAATAGAGTCTATAAAAGATATTCAAGGGAAAACAACGGTTTGAATTCAGCTACCTCTCCTGAATATGAAAAAATGCAATTTCATATGCACATCAAGGAATGAAGGAATACCTACTGCCAGATAATGGTTAGTTTATTCTTGGAGATAATAAAATTAAAATAATTAAATGAAATGCATATTAAGCCATGGCATAACGTGGCTTGGGAAGTATTTACCTGGAATTTGGTCATTCCTGAGGCAGGTAATGTAGCCAAGAAGTAATCCCTTAATATACAAGAGTTGAGAAAAGAGTATTGTTTTGCTGAAGTGAAGTCTTTCTAGGATTAATTTCCTGAGTTTCTAGGAGAAGATGTAGCAGTATGTCTTTCCAAAGACTTCTGAAAGGACACAGAAGCTGATACTCTGCATCTTGGAAGGACTGGAATCTTCAGAGAAAGGAAGCAGAAAATGTGTGTGTTTTCCTTGGAGTCCTTGTGAGCAAGCCCTTCAAGGAAAGGGCCCATGGGAGAAAGTATGGAGGATCAAAAAGGATCCACAGTGCAGTATGGAGGACCAACACTGATCAGGAAGAACATCTGTGTGACTGCACACACATTATATTGGGATTGTATTCACAGATGTTACCAGATTAAACAGGGAGAGCAGTAAAGATGATAGATTCCTTGTGGAACAGGAAGAGCTGATGTAGGAGTTGTAATAGCCTCTATTTATTGTTAACTCACTGACCATCTTGCGTTTTGACTGCTCAAATTAGCCTTCTAATGAAAGTTAATGACAAGAGCAGACACAGTTCTGGCATGATTTAGCAGAGGAGCTGCTCACAGGTAGCAGGTAGTGGGTGTGATGCACGGGGATGTTTTCCTTGTCTTTGAGCATGGTTCCAACTAACTGAGCTCCTCAAGCACCATGTCCTTCCATCACATACCTGCCATTCCATGCTGAAACCACCCTTGTATTACTTTGGAAATGCTGGATTTTAAACCCCATAATTACTAAACAACATGACCCAAGAGGACTATGAGGACTATGTGATATGTACCATCTACATAAGCAGGGTGATGCCTGTGTTTCCACACCCCACCAGTTACAGATGTACCAAGGGAGACAGCCTTTTACTCAGGCCCTTCCTGGGAAAAATGATGACTGCAAGGGTGAATTTGTATGCAGAGGAGTTTGCAGTATGGCCCTGAAACAATGCAGGGTCTAAAAGCTTGAGAGAGTCTGTATCCTATACAATTCTCTTGTCCTAATTTCACATGTTTGTTCCAGCTCTGGGCTTCAGTACACCATTTTCTTAACCAAGTTTGTAAAATTCAAACAACAATCTAAGTGACTGACTACTTCTTTCTCTGTACTTCTGACCTGTTTCACAAAGCCATATCCAGTAACATATGTTTTCAAAGCAGCTGCCAAATTGAAATGTATTGTTTTATGGTTGTTAACTAGGCTTGCCAATATCAACTTTTATGAAGTATACTCTGATCATAACATTCCTTCCACTGTGAATAATTTTGAAGATATTGGCCCCACATTCAACTTCTCAGTTAAGGTTAGTAAGTCTGTTTTTTTCTGGTTCAAGAAGTTGCCTTAGCTCCCTCTGTAGACTGCTCCCAAAACCTTGTTTAAAAAAACGCTCCTGCTTTCATTGTCTGATTTTGAGGCTTTTGAATAGGTCAAGTAAAAAAATAATTGCAAATAGCGTAAGTTCTTGGAGTCTTCATAAGGTTAAGGATGACATTTGTACAGGTAGAAAGGGGGAGGGATTGGTCCTGCACTGTGTACATATTTAGAAGGTGGTTAATGCTTAACTTTAGGCCAACTTAGACTGTTTTTTCACAGAGTCTCCTGACAACTTGATAAAGAAAAACAAGTGCTTGCAGGCTTGGACTTTGAAACTTGGAAGTTTGGCAAGGGTTGGGAGCTCAAACCTGATGCAAGAACTAGCCAAATCACAGTGCTTATTACATAACACAGAAAAAAACTTAGATCAAAATATGCAACGTGGAAGAAAGTTAAATTATGTTCCATTTCCATTCCTGTAACTGCTACTCCAAAGGACTAAACAGTCCTATTGCCCGTGGCAGAATATTTGCTTTTCAAAACGTATTTCATGCTTTACTAAGAAAACAGACAGGAACTTGGAGCTATACAGTATACTTTCTGCTTTACTATTCACAAAATTACTACCCCAGTGTCTTTGTAAGAAAAAAATTGATGTAAAAGGAGTCCAGTTCTTCCATACCCATCCACTATTTCTAATTTTCTTGCTGTATCAAATAATTTCTGCATAGCTACCTGAATTAACTCCTGATTTTTTTACTTTGCAGGTAATTACAGGAAGTATTCCAGTAAAGATGTCATCAGTAACAATCACTCTTCCTGAACTGACCAGCAAAGGCAACCCACTGATGTACCTAACTGCAGTCACCATAGATGAGGTATAGATCTGAACTGTATTTTGGGGGTTTATCAGTAATATAAACATCAGTTATCTCCCCATATTATGGCTTAAGAGAATCCATGCTTTTTCTCCTTGTCCCTTCCTCATAAAAGAGGGACCACAATGCCAGTAGTACACTAGCCTAGTTACTTGGCATATGTGGAGTATCTGGATCTCCTCAGTTAGGTCCTTCTCCATGTTCCTGAGAAAGTTATTGTAAAAATAAAATTTTTAGATGAGGAAAAACCCTTCAGGTCAATCTAAGGACAAAAAAGGAAGTGTCATAAGAATTACTTATTTCTGACCCAAACCACATACTTTTAGTATCCTAAAGAATTCAGTGTTCACACCGCCACCATCTAAGCCCCAAAATGTATATTATTATGATGAGTATAAACTACCAAGTAGCATGTTGTCCAGTCTCATTCCTGCCATCTTTCCTAGGCCAGAGGTGTTACTTGTGATGCTCAGATAAATCCACTGCAAATAGGGAAAAGACCTTATTCTCCATCTTTCATGAAAGAGAACTTCAGAGCTTCCAAAGAACTGGTGAGTAAAACCCGGGGCTGCAGTAAGCAGGACCTTCTGAGCTGAGGGAAGCAGAGCTGACCCTCTGAGCCCATTGCTGTACTTGTGAGGAAAGCTGTGATGGGGTGGCATTCCTCATTTACAGAGCAGGAGCTCGGCCTATGATGTTCTTACAGACACTGCATCTGCTTTAGCACAGCCTGCAAGCACTTAATTTGTATGCACAGAACAGCAAAGGCAAGGGCAAAAAGTCTGGATGTTGCAAGAATATTTTTAAAGTGCATTTTTAATGCATGTTGTTGCCTCTTCTTGCTGTTTCCCCTGGAAGAACTGTAAGAACGTGAAGTGCAGTACCATCACATGCAAATTGGAAGACATTGCACTGAAGGGAGAGTACTTTGTGAACATATCCACCCAAATCTGGAATGGAACCTTTGCTGCCGTGAGTATCAGCTGCATCTTTATGAAGGATCCAGTAGTTAAGTACTAGATATATATATATCTATATATGTATATATATACATGGATATATATTTAAGTATTTGCAAACTCCTGATATTTTTCAAAGTTCAGTACAGAGACCTTACAGTCTAGAAAGACCTTCCTTTACTTCATATTGGTTTGTGTTTTTCCAGATTGAAAACTTGAACTTAAAGTAGTGAAGCTGCATAACAGAGTTGATAAAACTTCAGTCCAGCACAGAATCGAAGAAAATGCTGTGATAATACAACCTTCACAGCTGGAAAAATGTTTTCTACGTCTGTTAGATTCATTCTAGGGGAATTACAGTTTCCACAAAACTCATCATAGGACAGCAGAGCACAGTATCATCATAGCCTGAAAAGTAATCGTGCTTTTTAGCTTTTGAACATCACAACCTACATTGTGATCATTTTAAATCATATCAAAATACCAAAACCCTGTTAGTGCTGCCAGTTTTATTTGATAGAGAAAGTGTGGAATATATCTTTAATTTATTTTCCGTGTTTATTAGAGTAGGTGTCAAAGAAACAGTCCTTGCTTAGAGACCTATTTTTTAAAAGAAACATCAATATCTCAGCCTATTTTCAATCCCCATGTGTCCTCCATGATATAACTCATCTTGAGTTAACAGACTTTTGAAGTTAGACTGTGTTTGCTTCTTAGCTAGGCAACCAACCAAACGATCTTGGAGTCCTGGGTTTACTTAATGCATCAGGAACATGATGCAGTCTCCTTAGTGTGTCTGGTGATTTTTGTGGCAGGTATTGACATTTAACAGCAGGGCTGTTGTCAGCTCCAGCATTCAACTCTTAAAAGGAAAAGGTCAGGTTGATAGGTGTTAAATGTGTTGTGGAAATGTGTGACGAAAAGCATCTGTCTGTCTTTAGCATTTGTATGTTTCTAATCAGCTGGGTCAAGACCATTTATTAGTGCTGTTAGGTACGCAGAAGGTGGAGACCTGAACAAAAGGTTACTCACAAAAAAGTGAGTGGGAATGGATTGTTTACTATCGCTGGCTGATGAGAAGGAAAGCTCATATGTCACAGTTCCCCTCGCGTCTCCCATTTTGTAATTTTCTATTTCGTTGTCAAAATTCAGCACAAATAATCTTGCAAGCACCCAATCACACATATCATCAGCCTTTTAATTTTATGGCAATCCAAGAAGTCCAAGAAGGGCATAGCAGACTTGCCAGTACCTGCTAGGCAAAGAAAAGATGTGTTTAGGAATTGAGATGCTTTGAATAGTGATCAGGTGTGCTTCTAAACTTTTAGGCGTCCAGGACACACCAATTGGGCAGATGGCCACAGTGCAGGGAGTGCAATAACTCACACTGCAGAGCCAGTCAGTTTGGTGTGTTGGCCACTGCAGACCCACAGCTGCTCATGGTACCTGGTCCTGCCAGGGCTGAGGAGGAAAAAGGGCAGAGCAGGCATTGCCTTTGGGTCAGCTGGAGAGAGTGGTCCTGTGCTCCCATGAACCTGAGGCTATTCCTTGTGGTGCTGTGGAAGAACAGCAGTGAACTGTCAGTGTCTACACAGTCATGCACCTCTCCTCCCAGTACATCCACAGAGGGAAGTGGGGTCTGGCACAATGTCCCTTTTCAAATAGGAATTGGCTTAAGATTTTTGTCATCTTCTCTGTTTAAGCTGAGAGAGCTATGTCAGAATTTGAGATGTGGAGAGGAACACATAGTGAAAGGAAAAAATAAATAGGGAAAAACAGAAGCATTGGATAGAAGAGCAGGCGGGGGGAAGTAAAAGAACATCCAGTTTCCATTTCTTTCAAAGGGCAGAGATATATTCGCATCTGTTTTTTGTTGCTGTGTCTCCTTTGCTCACTGTTATTTCCCCCCATCTCTTCCCTGCTAGCAGCAGTGACAGCTTTCAAATAACTATAAAGAGGGTTATGTAAATATTTCCTTCTGTTTTGCTTGAACTGTACATTAAAGAAAAAGAAAAACCAGATCCTCAATGTCATTGCTAAGTGGATTACTGATATATTATTACTTTGATTGACATGTTGGCTGGGGAAAATATTAAAATAGTTTTAATTTTCTTATTATTATGATTTTCTTTTCTGGCTGTGAAGTCTTCATTTTAAGGCAATAGAATTATTTTAGAATATTTACATTTCAATTGCGTTGCCCTATAACAGAGCTTTACAGTTGTTTTAATATTCTCTTTCAGTTAAATTTCCAGACGTTACAACTCTCTGCAGAAGCAAAAATTGATACAAATAACCCTGAGTTATTTATCATTGGAGAGAACACCCTAACTGTAAGTGATGGTTAAGTATATTTTTTCAACTTCTCTATCTTTGACTGTATTAAAGTCATAGTATTAAATTTTCAGTGTCCTTTAGGAGTACACAACAGCTTGATTATGTTGAACTAAAGTATCTTTTGACTATACACAAATCCCTTAAGTTATTAAAATGTTTTTATTTCAGCCCACTGCTATATAAACCAGACATACATAAAACCTGTAGGTCTCAAATAAATTGTAGAACTCTGAGAAAAAGTCAGCTGGAAACTTCTGAAATTCACATAGCTTTCTGTTCACAAAAAGATCAAGATTTGGCTTTCTTGCTGCAATGGAATTAATTGTTATAGATAAATGAGCTCTGGGAAACATGTTCAAAAATCTGACTTACAGTCTTACTTACTTCTATAAGAGTATGGTTTGAGGTTTCTACACAAATGTTTGGCAAAGGTCCCCAGAAAGTAATCTCTTTTTTTGGAATGTGGAATATTTTTAGCATTTGGAATAGCTGTCATATGGACAATGTGGACATAGCTAATCTCAAGAGAAGTCTCCATACCACTGTTTTATTAGTACTGAATTCTTCTTCCAAGCTTTCTATTTGCTATACAGAAACATAAAACCTCTGGAAGAATACAGTAGCACTGTAGTACTGTTGTAATAAAAGAGGACATCTTATTCTCTCACTCTGTCTTGAGAGGAACACCCTTCCATTTGCAGTACTAACTTCAGAATTTTTTTTACAGAACTTAAGAGCCTGTTTTATCCACAAAATAACCAAGGCCATTTAAAAACAAAATGCAAATTAGTAAATGAGTCAAATATCTGTAAGAATGTGAAGCATAACCCATTCACAGGCATTACAGAATTCAACTAAATGTATACAAAAGCACTTACAGATTGATCTCTCTCACTATCCAATAACATTTTTAATCATTGGTTTCTCATGGATCACTCATAAGGTGTTTTGTAATCAGTAAAACCTCCAGTGCCTGAAGAACAAAGGAAGTGTGTTTTCACAGAAAAATTACATGCCAATATTTGAAGTGTTCTGGGTGCTTCAGTTTGGCATGATATTATTTCTATTAGGAGATATTATTTCTATTAGGAGATTAAACTCATTACTATACAATGCAAATATTCCAAGTAATTGCACAGGCTTTTTAGATAACTCATAAACCATTATTAATAAGTATTTTTCCACATTTGAAGCATAGTACTGCCAAATCTACATTACCAGAAGTTCTGTCGGAAATTTCAGGAAAACTAGAATTTTATTATTTAAATGATAGTTGACAAATGAAAATCAATTCCTCCCCCAGCCATTGCACAGCTGGGAAGTTCTACACCTTTGAGGCAGTAGCTGAACAGACTCTGAAAGTTATCCACAGGGTTCCTCATAAACAAAGTGGCTTTTGGTGATTTGCAGACCGACCTTTACTCAATGACCTATTGCCCTGTGAGAAGTCTTGGTAAATGTGCCAGGCTGTGGAGGTACACTCTCCCTAGAGCAGACAGTTTGACACTTGGAGTCAGTACCCAGCACTACACTCCCATCTTGTCAGGCCAACAAGGGATACCCAGTCTGGCCTTCATAGTTCCCTGGGAACAGGACAGTACAGAAGCAATAGAGTTTATTTCCTTACTTACCCTGTTAATTTAGATGGATGTGGTAGGATTCACAATTTAATATCTGCATTAGTCATCCATATTCTATATACCCTAGTCCCTGGGTAAAGAACGGGTATTTCTGAAATGCAGTTCATCTCATCCTAAATTTGATCCTGAAAATAACTAGGGTGAATTGGGCTTTTAAAAAAGCCTATCCTCCTTTGAGAGTCAAGGAACCATTTTGTAGAAAAACACCAGATTAACTGAATCCCAGTCTTACGGTGTCTTATTGACCACAGTTTAACTTCAGGAAAGATAATTTGTTCTTAGGCATCATTTTTTCTTTCCAGTAATGCCACTTCACTGTTAATCTAATGCAGAAAGCATTACTAGGCAAACTGCATATATGAGATTGGCTTTTTACATTGGATGAAGTGGGTTGTTGGTTAGCCAAATAAATTAGTATTGCCTTGTGATGCTATGTGGGGAAGCTGCTTCGGTATTTTTACGTAAAAGCTTTCAAATTTTTTCCAAGTAGGAAAGGACTGCCAGCTGGAGGCCAGAATGTTAACCTGCTAGAATCATCACTATGGCCATTCAGTTAGAAAATACACAAAGCCGTCCTGCCTTGGTGAAACGAATACACATAACCACACCTAGCACAACACTGGAGCCTTCCAACAGAAATGACTTAAATCACAGAAATGTCAGTCCAGTGCAAGTTTCCCAGAAAGCCTAAGATTAAATTACTCCAGACAAATGCACTGAACAACCACCCAGAGAAAATAAACCAGTGTGACTTGTTTTATCATGTTTCAGGAAAGAAAAAAAACTTTCAGCTAACTGCATGTCATTCCAAGATTAAATCCAAAAATTTGACAGTTCATAAATATTACAGCAATGTCTCGCTGAGAAACTCTGTTATATGTAATTATATATTTGGTTATACTTAATCCAGCTAGATAGGGTATCACCTGAAAACTAACTTCCAGACACTCTGTGCTCTTCTGGGAGCTCTCTGGTATTGTGTGTGGTTCAGGAAATGTAGGTGTGTTAGAGGTGCTCCTCTTTGACCTATACATCTTGCAGCAAATTCATGCAGTTGACCCTGGAGAACACATGATTTAACAGATCACCATCAGATCTTTAAATCATTAGTGGTTTCATAGAAGGTAGGAACAGCAGGCAAAGGAGACTGAGGCACCTCCCCAGCAGGAGGATTTCAACAGATGGGATGGTGTCTGGTCTCAGTGATTAGTACTGCCTCCTACAGCTGCCGAGCACAGATAATGGCTCTGACAAGACTTGGTGAAAAGTAGTGCTTCTCCAGCAGTCTGATTTTGGGGCTGTACACCAGGCTATTCCCTGCCTTCATGTAAACATGGCTGTTCTACACAGTGATGTTGTAGTAGATGTAGTAGTGTGGAGCTTCTGAAAGGCCTGCTGTTAATGGAGAGACAGCTGGCAGGAGAGATTGTTCTCTACCTGTTATGCATGGCCAAGAGTGATGAGGGCCTCTAGTGCTCAGCTGGCATTGTCGTGTGACAGTGTAACCAGGCATCCATGGACACCAGTTAAAGGGCTGTAATTGCTTCGTGTATTCCAGTCATTCACCCTGGAATATATGCAGTCCAGGCATTCTTGATCTTTGGTTTACAAATCCTACCTTATTTGTAGTTAACATTAGCCCCTAAAACACAATCTCTCTGCTTTCAGATCCCAGTTACAATAATAAAGCCGGATGAGAAAGCTGAGGTACCAGTAGCTGTTGTGATTGGCAGCATATTGGCTGGACTTCTCTTGCTGTTGGTACTGGTTGCTGTTTTGTGGAAAGTAAGTAGGTAATTGTACCTTAAAACCAGAAAGGGATAAATAAATTTGGGCTATTTTCTTTGGAATATCTCTTCTCTAGTGTGAAACAAAACCACATCTGCAGTTTGGTGGTGTGAATAATACTGCATTGACATTACATCCTTAACATATTTTAGACAGGTTTATGAAATGAGTCCTTATAGAAACCAGCAACATGAAGATGATAAATGAGCTGCCAATCATTCAAAACAGGGGCTGTGGCATTTACTTTTTTCCTTTCCTGTCTGCCTTCTTCCATAATATCCTATCTAGGCTCTGAACACCTGTGATATTCCCAATGGACAAGGGTGGGGATTACAGTCAAGGTGAGAGGGAATATATATTGAAGAAACAGACAAAAGAAAGGGCAGGAGAAAAAATTAAATGACAAAGGTTACACAGAGAAAGGGGAAAGTTTTTCTGTGTGCCAGGGCATTGGTGTTTGAAGTGCTCCTTAGCATTATCAAGGCATCATGGAAATGTCAGCAGGGAGAAAACTGGCTAATCAGCACTGCTACTCTAGCATTTAGTTGCACCAGGTAGGAGTTTAAGGCCCACCTCCTTTCATTTTAGAGGCAAGAATTGTCTACAGATCACTCTATAGTGTATGCATGCACACATGCATTTTTACCATCATAGTATTTAGTTCTGCTGAGTAATGAATTATCAATGACTGACTGCAATGTGGTGTTATCTTAATACTTCTCACAGCTTGGCTTCTTCAAGAGACAGTACGAGAAAATGACACAGGATATAGAAGATGTCGATGAAATTGCAGAACTCACAAAGGACAAAGACTGAAGATGAGTTAGATGGACAAAGAGGAGATCTGAGCCACCAGTAGTAGTTGTGATCAGTCAGTTCTTCAGCTGGAGTGCCTTAAAGCTTAGTAACATTTAAACATTTTTAATGAAAGTGTCTTTATAGATTAAATATTTTACCGATTCTACTCTATTGTAAGAGTAACTGCAGGACAGTTTGTTTTTTTCAAAAATGATTTATAATGCCTTTTCTTTTAAATTTTTGCCTTTCAAACAAACTTAACCCTTAGAACTGGCAGGTCCGGAGTTTACAGTAACATACTGTTCCAGCAGCCCTTCTCTTGATCCACTGTAGAGTGAAACAAGAATTTATTTCAGATTATTGTGGAACAGCATCAGTTTGTAATTCAGTTGACAAGTACCACATGTGTTAAAGGACATTTTCTATTAAGTTGACGATGAATGTGTCGTAAACACTGCTTCCAGATTGGAAGAAGAAAAGTCATTTTTTCATTGACTAGTTCCATCCTTATTGTTTTAGAAAAATAATTTCCACCAGCAAACCTTTGCTTTAACTAATTTATAAACTGGGAACTGTGTATGAAGATGTCTGTTTGGGTGCTATAGGACAACTGGCTGGGCAAAGTCTTCCAAAAGTTCACCATATTTCTTGCACTAAGGTCACAGCTAAATTACTGAAGGATATTGTTTGGGGGAAGTATTGCCAAATGATATGTATAACTGTCTTCTGCATACTTTCTCCCTGAGAAGAAAAGGTGAATTTCATAATCACTTATAGCATGTTCTCTGCAACATTAACACTCAATTTTCCTCTTGAGAAGAACTACCACTGTTATGCTGGCCTTTATACTCTTGGTCCCTCTGATATCAGTTTGGCTGTTAACATAAATAGAAAAGACAGTCAAGATCTTGCCTTTAATTCTGTACTGAAAGATTTTGCAAGACTAAGAGCATAGAGTGAACTAAAGGGGATAGCTGACTGAGGAATTATGCACGTTACAAAAGGGGATAGTGAAGATCTACGCTCTGTAAAATGTTTACTGCACTTCTTTAGCATCTCGGTGCCCTCCAGGAGACCAAAGTTCAGTACAACCTCCTTACCTGTCACATTTTTTTTGGTCCTACCTGTTCATGTCTTGGTGAAGTTAACTTATGTTTTATATGGAGAAGTACTGTAGTGCTCTGTAATGAGCTCTAAGAGCAACACTTGGGTGACTTTGTGTTGGTTACACACCTCAAGTTTATCACATGCTGTTACGCTGCCTGGTTATAATGAAAGCTTGGTCTAATAAAGGCCCATGCTGTAAGACTGGCAACAGGGGAATAGGCCTTTTGGCTGCCTTTCTCTCTCATGCCTGGCAGTTAGACTTACAATTGATTGGGAGAGAAGATGTGTGTGGTTTTTATATGTATGCTGCCATGCCAGTGAGATTGTTTCCAACTTGAGGTGATTTACTTGAAGAGTAAAACATGCAAATGTGCCTGATTGAGAACACAAATTCATGGTTTCTTCCCCCCAAAACTGGATTGTAATTATGATTAGGCACTTTTCCATTATTTTCTGAGGAGCTAGCCTTAAGCATGTTTGAAAGTTTTACTCAGTCTTTTTTAATAGCTAATCAGTCAAAAGCCAACCATCTCTTTGGAAAATAACAGCTTCATTTGCAGCAACAGCTGGATTATGGTCAGTATAGTTTTATATGTGTTTTGAATTTATTTTGTATCTATGAAATGTTATGTTTTGAGACATTTTGTTGTGGTTTTTCTAACATTCTGAAAAACAATTCACATTCTTATATCAATTATCAAACAAGATTCTTGCCATCAGCTGAGTCTGTGACCAAAACAAATATTTTAAAAGTGGAAAAAAAAATAGCAATTGCATAAATCTAAAGAATAAGCTCCTGTCTGGTAATTATAAATGTTGAGGGCAAATGCTCTGAGAGTAAAAATAAAAAAAATGTCTGCCTCAATTCTTATATAAACTTATGCAGAAAAAAATAACCCCTACAGCCATGTATGTGGGAAGCTCCTACATAATCAGGGTCATGCACTCCGGAGCAGAGAGGGAATTTCACAATACACCAGATGGTTTTCAATTTCTGGTGCTGCCTACCAGGGCAATTCAGGCATTGACCCAGATTTCCTTCTTCTGCCTTCAGTGGGAGGTACAGGTCAATATCCAATATGCAACTTCTTTGGGGATTTAACAGTTTATCAATCAGGTAGCAATGATTCAATTCACTAGTATTTTGACATGAACAACGTAATTCCCCTTCCCAGCCTGGACACAATACTGCTTTTTCAAAATAAAGGGGAGACATAATAATGGGTAAGGTTTTTGTATCCTAACCACTCCAAATTAATAGCTTATTTTTCTTTAAAAATTAATACTTAAATGGATAATTCAGTTTTTGTAATGGGTAAGTCTATTGCACTTTTAAGTTGGCACAGCTGCAAATAATACTGGAAATATTATGTATATTTTGTATTGTATTGTGCAAGGGTTTGGGTTTTTTTTTTTCTTTATTAATTACTTTTTTAAAGCAGCATGTTTTAAATACCCTGAAATTTTGAGCTTCAGCATGTACTTCTGTTTGTGCTTGCAGCAAGAAAAGTCAGCAATACCTTCAGCAAACTCAAGTTATATCTGATTCTAGTCTTGAAATCTAGCTGCTGACTTCCTGAAGTACTGGAATCAAGTCCAAAATCTGAGTTCGTTTCATATGAGCCTATGTATAAATTGGAATATACAAGAGAATTTATAATAAAGTTGACTTTTAAAAGCTAGCATGTAAGCTCTATGGGAGCAGGGACTGTATCACTGTGGTGGCCTGTCTGAGGGCCTAGCAGCATTACTGCAATAAAACCCAAGACTACTGCTGAACACAGACTCATTTATTTTTAGACAGCAACCTAAAGAAAAGCAATGCTACTGAAAAAGCACTGCATAAAATGGGGCCAAATATGGCTTTGTCCCAGTAGCACACAGTGAGAACCTAAGGGGATCACTCTGCTAGGTAGACAAAGACACTGCACCTGAAGTCTTGCAAATCATAGTCCAGAATGTGACACTACCAGTAAATTGTACTGTACTGTAACCCAACTCACATTAGTGCAAAAATACAATACACACAATACAATAAAATATCACATGAACCTGATCTTAAGGCACAAAGTTTTGTCTTTCAGCAAGTCTCAATGTTCTGCAGAATTACAAGCTAGATTCCTTATACACTGACTTATGTATGTGCTGCTTTTGGCTGGGACAGAGGTACATTTCTTGACAGTAGCTAGTATGGGGTTGTGTTTTGGATTTGTGCTGGAAACTGTTGATAACACAGGGATGTTTTATCTGTCACTACACAGTGCTCACAGGTCCAAGGCCTTTGCTGCTCTTCACCCCATCTCACCAGTGAGGAAGCTGGGGGTGCAAAGGAAAGTGGGAAAGGGACAGAGATGTGAAAACTGCCCACAGCTGACCACAGGCACTCAGAGTATTTGGTGTCTGTCTTCCCAAGCCACTGTCACATGCAATGGAGCTCTGCTTTCCTGGAGCTCACTCAACCTGCCTGCCAATACGAAGTGGTGAATGCATTCCTTGTTTTGCTTTGCTTGCATGAGCAGTTTTTACTTTCCCTATTAAACTGTCATCCATCTCGACCCACAAGACTTCTCACTTCTACTCTTCCTCTTCTCTCCCCCATTCCACAAGTGGCAGAGTGAGTGAATGGTTGTGTGGGGCTGAGTTGCTGACTGGGATTAAAGCGCATCCAAAACTGAACTACAACAAAAGCTTGCAAATTAAAGACTAAAAAAATGAAGATATGAAAATGCATCTCAAAATCTGTATGTAATTGCCTCAATTTTTTATTGCTTGTGAAAGTAAATGAAATGCACATTTTCACAGCTTTTTGAGTCCTACATTTTAATTGAATCTTTCTGTTCTCAGTTAATTAGTCAATTATTTGTCTGCAATCACAGGTTTTAGTATGGTAGCAGTTTTTAAATTGTATTTGCCTCTTAAAATAGTCAAAATGGAAATTATATAAAAAGAACTGCTATAAAGATACATCAGGATGCTAATTTTTGATAAGTTGGTAAGATCAAACTTTATAGTGTGGTTGTTTTTCAAAAAACTGGCCTAAGGTACTCAAAGAAACTGGTAATTTACAGTCATCAATCTATTCCAAACTCTTTTCAATCACCTCCACAGGACATTTAATTGTACTTAATAATACATAATGTTTAAGATTGTTTTTCACAGCATTTTAAAAGAGAAAGGGCAGCACTGTCTGCTTTAACATACAACTTGTTAATAATTAGATTTAGCAGTTCTTTTTTTAATGCTTCTGAAGCAACAAATTAATGTGCTACTGTATAAAACTGCAACTTACTTGGAACCGCTGTGCATAAAGTGAGCAGAAAGGCCAAAAATCTAGTTCAAAGTTGAGCAATCCAAAAGCTTCATTCCTGAGTGCAGCAGTGACACTTTCACGGGCAACAGCCAAAGCGAGGGCTTGTATTTCCCAGCACAGCCAGCACCTCAGTGGGCCAGGAGCTGCTCCTCCTGCCTAGCCATCTCTCGGCTGCCATCTCCTGGGTCAGCCCCTTATAAAACAACTCCCTTCCTCCCCCGTTATTCCATGACAATCCATCAGTTGCTGTTTTCATCGTATGCACCAGGCTGAGCTTCTCTTGAGAGCAGAGCACAATGCTCAAAATCAGGAAAGGAAACTCTTAAAATCAGTGCTGGTATATGGATGTTCGGCCAGACAAAGGGGTGGATCAGCGTATTCAAATATTGCCAGCCAAAACTGAGGCATCTTTTCAGAAGGACAAATTATTGCTCTGAAGACATGCACTTCCACAGACAGCCCTCATCTGGCAGATCTCTACAGGAATCACATGGTGACCCTCTGGGTCTGCAGCATTTGTGTCTGGGAACATCCCTCTATGTACCAGAGCCACTAAGTCAACACAGCTGGTCTCATAGAGAGGTGGGATTACCTTCCCTACAGACAAGGAAGAGAAACAGCTGGACTCATTCCAGAAAACTGAGTCTTCCTTGAGATAGGCAGATCTGCAGCTGTCTATCATCCCACTCAATGGACCTCACCATAACACAGAGTAGCCCTCATCCAGTACTGTAGTTCTGCAAGTGTGGACAGCGGGACAAACACGGCTACATCTTTCCTAATACACAGTGAGACACTGCTGGGATTCATCCCCTGGCTTGGAAACACTTCTGGGTTACTTCAGACACAGCTTAAACTGTGAACACAGTAATCTGCCCTCTTATGATAATACTGCCCTAGCAGAGAAGGTAGCCTACAGAGGGAGACAGAATGCCAAGTTAAGAGCATGGATTTAAGTTTCAGTGAGATACATTTAACCTCTAATTAGCACACCATCCCTCCCAGAAACATTTCCATTTTGCTTTTACATGCCAGCTGAAGAACCCAAAGTTACACAAGACTGATATATCATTGTTCCAGAACAAAGGAGTACTTGCCTCATGCACAGCTAGGGACAAAAAATGACATTTCATTGTCTCTACCATGGCAGCATACACACATTGTAACACTCAGCTGTGACTCAGTACAACATATCTTCCATTCATTGTTCCTGGTCACTGTGGGGAAGTATACAATTATTCTCTCTTCTTTTCTGCATCCTCCTTCCCAGCTGCATTGCTGATGGGGAAGGTGCACTTAAGGTCACCCTGGGAAAATCTTCCAGGAGACTGCATAGCTAGAAAGGCACTAAAGAGACACTACTGCAACTCAGGAATTGCCCCTGATCATGAAGAACCAAGTAGAATTTAACAATGGTAACTAACATATTCCACTGATTTTCTGTATCAGAGCACAACACTAGTATGGAACCACAGCAGAAGTTTTACTTAATTCATAAAATATCTACTGAAAAACAAGCTAATTTTTGTGAAATTAATACACTAATTAGTTGAATGGTAACAGCAAACATAAACATGGAAAAATGAATACCAAATATGAAAAAGTTCATGTATTTCTTTCTCTTCTAAAGTGAAAAATAATTGTTTCACAGAGCAAGTGATTGTGCTCAGTATTCTGTACAATTCCTAGGAAAAATTACACTCAAACAGCAGAGGGCTTCTCTCCAACCTCCAAAATAAAGGAAAACTCAGTCTTGACCAGCTCTGCCTAGATAATAGGGCCCACATGGCTTGTAGAGTGTGCATCTGCAAACATGCAAGGAGCAGCTGCTGTCCTGCAGATGAAGGACTGAGTTACACTTGCGGAAAGTACATCAGTAAGTTAATAAGCACAGTTAAATGATGTTTCTGCCTGAAGCTGTATGTTTCTTTACAATTTACTTCAGATACAGTAACTAAGCATTAAAAGTGATTCAAATCCCTGGGGGAAAAAAGATCATCACCTACTGTCCTCATTTTACTTTATGCAGCTAGAAGTTGTTAGTAGATTTTTGCTGCAGACAGAATAAAATGGAATATACAGCTGAGGCTTCACTGGTGTGTAATGTAATGATTACAGAATCAAAGACTGGTTTGGTTTGGAAGGGACCTTACAGATCATCTAGTTGCAGCTGCCCTGATAAGAGGCTGGGACACCTTCCACTAGACCAGGTTACTCATAGCCCCATGCAGGCTGACCTTGAACATTTCCAGGGATGGGGCATCCACAGCTTATTTGGGCAACTTGTGCCAATGCTTCACCACCCTCACAATAAAGAATTTCTTCCTAACAGCTGATCTAAACCTACCCTCAGATCAGCTTAAAGCCATTCCCCCTTGTCCTATACTACATGTTGTTGTGATAATTCCCCCTCCAAACCTATTGTAAGGCCCCTTTAGGTACTGAAAGGTGACGTAAGGTTTCCCTGGAGCCTTCTGCAAGCTGAAAAACCCCAGCTCCCAGCTTGTCTTCATTGGAGGGGTGTTCTAGTCCTTTTAGATGAACTTAGTGGCCCTCCTCTGGACTCGTAACAACAACACTTCTTGAGCTGGGGGCTCCAGAACCAGATGCAGTGCTCCAGTGGGGTCTCTTGAGAGCATAGCAGAGGAGCACAATCAAACCCTTTGACCTGCTGGCCCCATTGCTTTTGATGCAGCCCAGGACAGAACCGGATTTCTGGGCTGCAAGCGCACGTTGCCAGCTCATACTGAGCTTTTTGTTCACGAATACCCTCAAATGTTTCTCCCCAGTGCTAGTCTTGATCCATTCTCCCTCCAGCTTGTACTTATGATTAGGATTGCTGTGACTCAGGAGTATGACCTTGCACCTGGATTATAAATAACTATATATGATGCAGAAACAGATATAAGAGCAACTGAGCAAATAATTTTGCATTACCTTATTTTCCTCCACTTCTATCTACCTTGTCTACACAAAAAATGATAACTAGGTAACACTGCCTCTCAGCATTAGCAGAAATGCCATACACAATGGGACTTTGAACTCTTAGCATCTAAATACTACCATGGCAATGTAGAATAACAAATAAAATTACCTTGCTCAGACAGGTAACCTGGTATTTCCAGTGAAACCCAGGCATATTATGTCAGTTCATTTAACCAGTTTTCAAAACAGTAACAAGAGAAAAACTGTAATAAGATTAAATCTTAAATGTGAATATAAATGCATATATGAATTGCAGCAAGTTCAATAAACTCCATTTTCCTTGAAAAACTATTCCATGTTTTTCAAAATATTTCAACTATTGATGACTTTTAATCCCCACACATATGAAGGCAAATTACTGAAGCTAATTACACCATAGTTGTGTATTTGTAATAATAGTTGGTTTGGGTTTTTCTTCGTGGAGCACCACACAACTACACAACCAAAAAGTCACCTTCAAAATTTTGTCTAGACATCATTAAGTAGTTACAGATTGGCATGTTATTGCTAAGGCAATTCTTTTTGCTGGTAGAGTACTAGCTTTAACTTTGAATCAATCTCTATCCACATTTTTTTAATGTAATGGACTTGTAATACCATCTGCACAGTAAAAATCATTCTGTGAGACAGAGCTACTGGAACATAAGCACTACTAAACAGTTAGTAACTCTGGGGTATAGTTTATATTTTCTTCTCTGTCTGCACTAAAATAGTTCATCTACTTCAAGTAGCTTTCACATTACAAGAATGCCTAAATAGCATAAAGCTTGCAAACTTAATTCTGCAGTCATATAAAATTAAACCTCTCTGAATTTTAATTGTCCCATGGTGACCTCCCATGCAGACAGAGAACACAGACTAGCAAAGTAAAAGCATTAGAACAGTATTTATCAGAGAGTAGTCTAAACGCTGCAACAAAGAATTTTAGGGAAGATTCTTTTAAAAACTGACTCCATGTTAAAATGCACAAAAAGGCAATTCCAAAGGACAGTCAAGACACCTAAAATCCCTAATTAATCCTCATTCACTTCATCAGTCCAAACTAAATGATTGAGATTTAAATATCTATTAGATCGTTTAGAAACATAGAGATTCTCTGTAAAAACTCAAAGGCAAATATGCTCATTAGGAAGAGTAACACTTTATTTTCAAGAGAGTACAATTATTTTTCTGAATTTGCCCAAAAGCATTCCTTGTTTTCTTTCCAAGAATATTCATCCTCATAAATCTCCTGTAATATAAACAAAGAATGGGAAATGTTGTGAGTCTGCTACATACAGTTACAAACCAGGCCAAACTACTCAATAGCCATCCCACTATTATTTACTGATCACATCAGGACTGCACAGCACTTGGCTGGCAAGCAGAAGAGAGGGCAGCACCCTTAGAACATACAGACTTGGCTGAACCCCAGGCCGCTCCCCACTGAGTTTAAAAGGGCCTGCCTATGCTGAAGTCAATTCAACAGAGATCTAGAAGAAATTACGTAATAGCTGTAGAGTACACAGCATTTATGCTGCTACATTAACCTACTGTACCATTGTTTTGAGATGAGACTTTAGATGTAACAAAATGTCAATATTAAAATAAAAATTATATTAATACACTAAATAAACTACTAATAGAGCTTAAGGACAGACTGGATTACCCAGCTGAACTTCCATCTCCTCAAGAAGGTATCAGAAAAGTGAAGTAATGTGGGGAATATCACTGTTAACCACATGCCAAGTTCTGCCAGGGAGAGGACACAGACAGACATAATGGTCATTATTTGCATACAACACTGAGGTTATACCATGAGGTTCTTTCTAGACTTGGGGTAGTTTCTCCACACAGTGTTGTGTGCCTATACTAGCTTTGGGACTTCTGCTCATCCCTTCATTGCGCGCTGTTGCTTAGTGCTCAGTGCTTTCTCATGGCCACAGTAAGGAGGGGCAAAGAGAATGGCAAGAAATGCTCCTTTTACTTCCAAACTGCAATGCTGTCCAAAGCAAAGCTGACTCAAATTCTTTCACAAGCCTGTGCAGAACTGAGTTTTGCTACTCAAAAGAGGACAGCAGGCCTCCTTCGCTTTCACCCTAGGATGGCTCCAAAATAAAGAGGAGCTAGATGGTACAAGAGCAGGAGAACCTTCCAGATGCTTTACCTGCCGTATATGGGCCTGGCTGCAGTAGAAGAAACTCGCTGATGCTAGACACTGCCAACCCATCAGGACCAGCTGCTGCTGCCTGGAATGCTGCTAAGGCAGCCCAGACGTTTTAGACTAGCATAGGCTTAAATTTGATTTTGTCCCCAAACATACCTTTTTCCATATTGGGACAGATGCTTTTAAGGTATTGATGCAGTACATTACAGCTTCAAGGGATTCTGCTCTGTGTGGAGAGGAGACTGCAATAATTACACTAGCTTCAGTTATTGGAACCACACTAGGGAGAGAAGAGGAACAACAGCAGCTTTAGCTAACACTTAACATCAAGAACACCCAAAAGTTGCAGCCATGTCACGTCAGTATTCTGGCCACATGCTCTCCTGACTCATTCATACTGAGCAAGTGTCAAACCACATCCAAAAGATTATACTTTTTAAAAGAAAGAAAACCACAACCAAAATCAGTACCAGATGTTAGAATTCCACACTTTAGAATAAATAAACCCACCAGACATAGGCTTTTTTCTTCCATTCTTTCTTTTTTTAAAATTAAGCCTATGGAATTAAGAGGGGGAAATTGTTAACTTGTAACAATGCATAGGAAACTCACTGGAAGCTGGCTTAATAATGAACAATAACAAGTTAGAACAGCCAGTTCGTATCTAAAAACCTAAGAAATCATCTCAGTTTGCACAAGAATTTGTGAAAGAAGAAATTAAGTGCCTCATACTATGCAGATTTTGCAATGAAACCAAATTTTTGATGAATTCTGACTTTAGATTCTCAAGTTTCTTAGTTGGTGTGCTGTGTTAAACTTAACAGAAGCACAAGGTTCTGTGCTTCTCCTTGCAGTTGTAGCATTCCCAAAATCTGCCTCCCCGTCCTCCCTCTATAGTAAGACTCCTTTAGCACAATCCATAGGAAGAAATCTCAGCCTAAATGCTTTGAGCTGCCCTCATGACAGCCACCCTCTCTGTTGACTATAAAGGAAATCTAGGGAAACTACCCCTCAGGCCTTTTATCTTACTTACTCTTTGCAATCACATCCCAAGTTCCTTCAGGATTTCTGCAAATCCTGCTAGCTTCAGCAAGAAATCTTCCCTGAACTGGGAAGGCCCAAGAGTATGTCAGACACCAGTATCCCACGTTTTGAATCAAAAGGAAAATGCTTATCCAAGATTCAAGGAACAACAGGAGGCTGGCAATTACTATGCCCCACAGCCTAAGCTTCCAGATGTTTTGTAGCATAAATAGACTAAAATTTGACAATAAGAACATTCTGCAGCTCCTCAACAGGAGAGAGGAGAAAAAAATAAAGTGCTGTCAACTTCACACCTTTAAAAAATAAATAATAAAATAAACAAACAGCCTCCCCTTCCCTAGAGTGAAATATCTCCCCACTTTCAAAACATCATATCAGCATGATATGATCATCAAACATCTTTCCAGGCCTTTCTTTGTGGACTCCAGCAAACCCTACCTTAATAAATACATAAACCTAAACAAACACATTTTTGAAAACAAAATTTTTAGCTCCAGAGCAAGAGCTTGATCCTGCAGCCAGCCTTCCTGCACTATGGTTTCTAAACACTCCTGCTGGTTCCGCAGCTACGTAAGCAGAGCCATGCAGCAGACAAGGATTGACACTCCAGTTGCAGAAGGATGGGGTCTGGACATACATACCCAAGTCTATGGTGCACTGCAATATGTTTGACTGAAGGCCATTTCTGTCTAACATCTCTGCAGATTTTCTTCATTTCAGTTTCTGCCATTGAAGTATACGCTTCATATTCTAAGTGAATCACTTTTTTTCCTTCAAAATTATTTCTTGTAGTACCTAAACAAAAATGAATACATATTGTATCTTTATGATACGCATCATGTATTATATTAATACAGAGTAAAAATCCAGAATCTGTTGCTATGGTCAAGGTCAGCACTGTATAAACAACCTCCCCTAATCATGGCTGCATAATGAGATTATTTGAACAAGATAAATCTTTACTATATAAGGAAGAATTTAGTTTACACATTACACAGGTCTGTAGCCCACAATGCCCAAGGCTGGGACATTTTCTGTGGTAATTGCTAAGGTGCTATAATGGCATTTGCTCATGTAATTTTTAAATGCCCCGTATTTAGGCGCCTAGTAGCACTAAGGTTTAAGCACAAACCAGTTTCATATGTGTGCCATGTACATTAAGCACAGTACAGAGCTACCAGCCTGATCTTCACCAGCACATTGGTAGAAGAGGACTTCACTTTCAACTAAGACCGGAGTTACAGGACCTCACATACAGGTGTGGACATATAGTTGGCACAGCCAGAATATTTCATTTCCCACCCTGAATAAGTTGTATCCCAGGGGACAGGGGAACAACTCCCAGGCAGTTCTCTACTCCAAAGCTACTGTTCTGTTCAGTCCTATGATAGCCATACCAGCGAGAAAGTTCCACACCACTTTAGGCCATGGTCTTGCTCTACTGATTCAGAACATGTTTTCTAAACATAATGGGCTCAGATCAGGAACTGATTTATTTGAGAACTACAAGTCTGGGATGTGGACTAAGTAAGTTACATTTATTAGACTAGTAACATATCCAGTGACTTAGCTCAGAGATAACAAACTCACCAATGAACAGAGACACTGCCCCACAGTATGGTGAAACAACCAGCTCCGACACTTCACCGACAGAGAGCTTTTCCGACTTGAGCTTGATAAAATCTTTTGGCGCATCTTCTCTTTCTTCCATATCACAATAGAAAAACTGAAACCAGACAGACTCTGTTGTTGTTCCCGGAGATACTAGCATCAGCCAACTTTTTATCCAGTGCTCATGCCTGAATTTATGCACAACACAGGCACTATCTATCTGCCCAAAAGACTAGTCTACATGTGAAATTCACTTCTCAGGAGCCTCACTGAGAGAATATTAACGACAAATAACAAGCAATGTCTTGGTTTTACTGCAAACATATTTTTTTCTGATAGGAAAGTCTGGTACAGTGGGAGGAAATTATAATTAGCCCAAGGCCCTGGTTTAACAGTACATTCAACTAGTACAGACCACTGTGTAGTGCTGGTAAATCTGTGGTGATATTGTCAGTCCCTCCTACTTATCTCATCAAATCAAGCAGTTTAAAACATAGATTTCTGATAAACATGGATTAGAGTTCTAATCCTAAAGCTGAGTATGCTCTCCAGGACATTCAGGACCTCATACTATAAGTCTATTACAGACACACAGGAGACACTTCTAACTTTTCTGAGTAAATGCCAGTCATCAGATCACCTAGGAATGAGAAGTAATCTGATCAGCAGCAATGGAACAAGCTGTAGTGAATAGATGGACTGCCACTTGAAAGCAGGCAAAAAAAATGAAGCTGTTCTAAGGACACCTTTTTACCAGCAACAAACTAACAAAATTCCTAAGCAGCAGTCAATTATTTTTACTTTATTATCTTTTCTGTTAAAAAGTGGAAGGAAATTTTTCATTATTATCTTGTTTAAGCAAGCCGAGTTTCCACTGGTAGGAAGAAACAACCATGAAAGAGTAATAAGACCTAAAACCCAGATTCAAAGCAATGCCTGACCTCTCTTGCAAATGTCTTCTTTTTACCGCATACATGTTAATCATTTACTGGTGCACTGGCTAATAGTTTCTGTTCAGCACAACTGCACTCACCAGACGGAAACACAAGTTGGGTTTTCTCAAAAGACTACTGGGGTGGAGGGAGAGAATTGCAATCACATCTTCAGACCTAAACAAGAAAAGGTTCTTGTAAAATCACACAGAAACCATGAGGTATTTTAGCACTACACTCCACAGGAAACTAGGCAGTAAGTGATACTTACCTAACAGAACCTGGGCAGGTTCAGCCTCCACTAATTGGTGGGATGATGGCAACCTCGTCCCCAGGCTGCAGGACCAGAAGCTGATCTCCAAGAAGCACGTACTCCTGCCGAACAGCAAATACTACTTGATCCCGGATGAGAGCAAGCCTGAGGGGGATTGCCAAGAGCACAAATACATTTCCAATCAATGTTTGCATTTAACCATGAGATTTCATTAAACAGCAAACTGGTGTACAGTATAGGCCAGCTGAGGTAAAAACCACTGAGACTTACACAACTTCACTTCCAAGACACTGTTAAAAATACAAACAAACACCCACCTCCTAATCTTGGATTTTCTTGTAATGGCTAAGAAAAAATGAGATCAGTATAATTTTCAGAAATCAGGAACTGGATTTGTCATAGGCCTATGTCAGAACAAACCAATCCATATCAGACGCACTTCAGAAGCTTACAATAAAAAAGTTGGTAACTCAAGAGGCAGCAACCATCCAATTTGGGATTAGAAGGAAATACTGTCTTGATGCAGTCTGGCAGGACTCGAACAAATTTCTTATACACCAAGAAGCATTGTGGTATGCTGTTCATGAGATCTCATGAAGATTCAGTGGTCAGAGAGTTGCTCTTGTATGTGCTTAGACTTTGTGAAATTTTGGGTCTTTTGTACTTACAGGTCTGAAATCTGCTATTGATAAGGAGTGGCCACAGAACTAAGAGAGCAAATGTGATGTGTCTTCTGGCACATCTTGTTTTTATATGAGATATTGCTGTGAGAGTCCATAGTTCTTCAGGCAGGGAATCATTTCTATGACTAAGTGCAATTACATAGCAAGCATGAGGGCCATAGCAGTAAGACAGGAGAAAAAAGAATTGCATTTTACTTCAGATGGTGCAGGCATCATAACAGTTCTTGTTTGAGAATACAAAATCTGGCACAGCCAGCTCAGCTGTATCACCTAGAAACAAGTAAGCAGACCAAAAGAGTACAAGTAAAAATCATCTTGTTTCCTACAAGCCAGATAGACAAAAGTAGTGAAGGCAAAGGCTTGACAAAACACACTAGCAGTGATTCAGAGAACAGACTGAAGGGAAGCATTGTATGAAAGCAAAGCAGGCCACTAAAGAACTGTGCACTTCCATGAAACTGAAGTGCCCATTAGAAGGACAGGCTCTAATTAAAGTCCCTTGCAAGCTAATTAGTTGGGTAAAATGTGTGGAACAGAAAAGCACTGTCAAGTACACTCAAGCTCCAATTTGAATATCCATTAGCAATGTGAACAGAAGTCTGTGGTCAATGCCCTACAATTATATTGAGTTTTTCCAGAAAATTCTACTGCCCCAAGTCATCATTCATAAAAGGACAAAGTTGACAAATTACAGCAAAACGACCAATGGTACTGCTGCTGCTTCTGACATAGACGAAAAGGCTGCAAAGTAAAATACACACATTCCCTACTGCCTCTAGCACTCAAACACACTTTACCTCAATTCTCTGTGAGGAAACGGTCCCTGGTGCAGTGTTTTGTGAAGAGTTTTTCACTTGGAAATAGATACCAATGCTAAATAATTCATTTTTTTTTCACGGTGTTTGAGAGCATTTTACTAAAGAAAGATTGTGCCTAAAGGAAGACTTGGACACCTACGTCCAAAGTTATAGAAATTACAAAGCACTGAGTACTAAATTCTGAGAACCACAACCTCTTTTATACCTTACTTTTTTTTTACCCTCTTCTATCCCTACAAAATGGTGCTCACCCTTGTCCATCAGACTAGTTCTTGACAGGACTGAGCACATTCCCTCAGCTTTAAACAGAGGGGACATTTTTGTTGACACCCCCAAGAGCACCAATGCTGCTGAAACCCTTACAGCATACACAGTACTTTCTCCTGACCAGACCCCTTATGAAATGCAAGCAGAAGTGTGGGTCTTTTTCAGAGCATTGAAGTGGATGAACATATTTGCTGTATTAGGGCTGAGTGGCTGGAAACTTGTGGAGGCTTCATCTCCCTTCATGATTTGCATTGCAAAGTGTGACATAGGCTCAGACCAATGGCTTACAGTGCAGTTAATCACAGAATCAATTAAGTTTGAAAAGTACTCTAAGATGATCAAGTTCAACTTATGACTGGACATCACCATGTCAACCAGACCATGGCATAAAGTCCAATCTTTCTTTAAAAACCTTCAAGGATAGTGACTCCACCACCTCCCTGGGCAGCCCATTCCAATGTCTTTGCATCCTGTCAATGAAGAACTTCCTAATGTCTAACCTAAGCAATTGGAAAAGCCTGCCTATTATCATTTATTTCTCATTTATTGTCCGGGCCGTGCTTGATACTTTCTTGCAACATCTCATCTTCTCCACAGACTAATAACATAGTAGTTTGCAGGTTAGCACACCACAGCCCTCCTGGACAATGGGCCATGTGCACTCTCAGGCCCAGTTTTGGGTACATCTCCTGCACTTGGGCTTTCCTTCTGTATGCATAAAGCTACAACACTTCCAGCTGTGCAAAACACAAAACATTTGGAGCGGGTCACCAAAAGAAGGTAACACCACTGTTTTTGTGCTGTTGAAGTACTGCTATGTGTTCCAGCCCAATGCTAAACACCGAATTTGTATTGCAAAAAATTTTTTTAAAATCCACGTTGCTTTGTGCACCTCAGGGGTAAAGTGGCTGCATACCTGGGGTGGACCTTGACGATCTCCTCCCAGAGCTGCAGAGAGGTGATCTCCTGTGGCACCGAGAGCGTCTCGCAGCGCAGCCCCGCCAGCTCCGCGCTCCTGGCGAAATACAGCACCGAGACCTGCCGGGGACAAACAACGCTCAGGGCCGCAAGCCTGCCCAGACACCGCTCCCAAAATACTCACACACAGCCGCAACCAGAGCGCCAGGGAAACCTTTCCCATGCTTGTCTCGATGCCGATCGGCTCCGCCGCTGTCTCCTGCCCCGGCTGTCAGGACAGCGCGGAAAGGGGAGCGGGCGGGGAGCGGTGAGTGCCCGCGATCCGCGCCCGCCGCCCAGGCCGCTCCCGCTGCCCGTCGGAGCCAGGGACAGCGGGAGTCCCGCCGCTTTGCCCGGCACCGGCCAAGCCTCTGCCCGGGCCGGCCCGGGGTTCCGGCTGGTGGCACCTACCTGGCAGCGCATGGAGCCGCCGTGCCGGGGCGAGCTGCCTCCGCCGCGGGCCCACGGCGGCGCCTGCGCCCGGGCGAGAGGCGCCGGGCCCGGCCCGCCCCCTGCGGCCCGGCCGGGAGCGCCGTGCTCCGCTCCGTTGCCGGGCCCCGCTCCGCTGCCGGGCCGGCACCGCCAGTTCCGTCCCGCACGGGCGGTGGCGAGGCTGGGAGATGGCGCGGCTTTGCCCCAGAACTCGGGGTGCAGTGCTGGGGACGGCGCTTTACAAGCCGTATTTTCAGGGGGACTCGCAGCCCCGCGCGCATCGGGATTGCAGATGTTCGCAAGCATTACGCGTCCAATGCCTTGCACGTGTTAAACATCTACTAAATGCACAGGACAGGTATAATTGGCGTGTAAAAGCCACGGATCCGTTTCAATGCTGACACAGGATTTCAGGATTAGGGCCTGTTTCACCTCTGCCCTCAGTAACTGAGCACGGAAGGACAGTAGGCTGGCACTCGCCGGGCAGGGGGAGTGACGGGGCGTGTAGAAAGTGCTGCCGAGAGACCCACAGCAGTTGTTCCACACGGCATAACTGTGTGCCAGAGCTTCTCCTTGTGGGTGGCCAGGGTTGTTTCTGTAGTGTTTGTCTGTGACACTCGTAACCTCACAACAGTAATGGAGGAGCTCCTCCAGGCAGATAAACCAGGGGCAAGTCCACAGCCATTTACAGTGTGCAGAATATCATGCTGCCAAAGCCCGGGCACACAAACGAGACAGAGGAGTCCTGCAAAAATCGACTTTACTGAAAACTCGGGAGATTCCACTGGGGCATACCCATCTAGGGTCTCTCCAGTTTTTAGCACACCACAGCCTCCATTTATTCTAAACACCCTCCTACTTTTCCCATTGGGTGAAGATACAACCTTTCAGAGGTCTGCATACTAATATCTACCCCCCCCCCCCCATATGTAGCCCCACACCCATTCTTCCAGAACCTGATTGGTTCTTTCAGGTTATCTGGTCGTTTGTAAAAGCATGCACACCCATTTCTCCTGTCTTCAGTGTCATAGACTTTATGATCAGTAATTGTGATTTGGGCTGGTGGGCATTGAATTGTTAAGATTGGAAAAGACCTCTAAGATCATTGAGTCTAGTTGTTACTCCAGCGCCACTGTGTTCACCACTAGACCATATCCCTGGTTGCCATATCCACAGGTTTTTTGAACCCTTCCAGGGCCAGTGATTCCACCGCTTTCCTAAGCAGCCTGTTCCAATGCCTGATCACCCTTTCAGTGAAGTAATTGTTCCTCATATGCAAATTAAACCTCCCCTGGTGCAGCTTGAGGCCATCTGCTCTTGTTCTGTTGTTTGTTACTTGGGAGAAGACACTGACCCCCACCTGGCCACAGGCAATTGCAGGGAGTGATAAGGTCTCCCCTGAACCTCCTTTTCTCCAGGATAAACACCCCCAGCTCCCTCAGCTGCCCCTCACAGGAGCTGTGCTCCAGAACCATCACCGGTTCTGTTGTCCTTCTCTGTACAAAAACATCAATCCCTGCCGGATGCAACACTATCTGATAAAAAAAAAAAAAAAAAAAAAAAAAAAAAAAAAAAACCAAAAAAAACCAAAAAAACCAAACAAACCAAAAAAAAACACCTAGAACCTAACAACAAAAAAAACCTTAAAAACCTCAAAGAACTAAAAAGATGGCTGAGAAAAGAAGCAGACCTTTCTGCATATTAATTCTTGCCTCTGAGTTGCAAACTCAATGAAAGTTAAAGTGATTACATTTTCCAAAAAGTGTGTGATAGAAATCATTTCTGCAGAGCAACTGCATTGTACCATTTATTCAGTACATTGTGTCTTAATCCTCTGCTGCACGGAACAAATAAGTTACTTTTTAAAACTGTGCTCTTTTGTGAATGACTAACTAGTGTTACAAATTGAGCTCTCCTAAACACAACATGTGTCAAGTGAATAAAATAATTGCTTTCTTTTTTCTCTGGGCTGAGTAATTTTGAATCTATACATCTTAGATGGAATAGATCACTTTGACATGGTGTGTATGACCCAGCCAGTAGCTAGCAAGTGGCTGGCACATTTTTCCCATGCAAAAGGCGTACCATAAGAGGTGTTCTTAGAGTGAAGTGGAGGAGTACTAGCCTCAGCTGGAAGAAATTCACCTCTCAGCCCAGAAAACAGTGAGCTTTCGAGGATTTATCTGTACATTTAGGGTTAAGACAACTATGGAATAAGGAGAGATGGGTTACTGACACTGAATTTCTGAATTTTCTTTCTTTGATCTCCAAGAAATAACTTACCTAAACTAATTCTTGAGTATTTTTCAAAGGATCAGTCTTCAGCTCTGCATTGTATAATTTAGTTAAAGGCAGATTATGTGCCTAGAAAGCAGAGGAATAGAGTATGATTTGTGACTCTTATGATCCATTATCTATGTTCTTGAACAGCTAGGAAGTAGTTAAAAGTTCTTAATCAAAACCAGGAATTAAGATGAGGTGTAGTATTACTGTCAGAAACAAAATTCTCCCTAAATACCACTTTATTCTGGAAGTCTTATCTTCCAGGAACACCAGCTTCAGCAAGAAGTTGGCAACTACACTGTTTGGTTTGCAATAATGAGTTTTATCCAGATTGATTTTGTTTGATTATTTGGTTCTTTGGCTTGTTTAGTGTTTTTGGGGGGAGAGTATAGACACCTACCTAAGATTAAATAAAACATAATTTCATAGCTCTGGAGGAGATATGTTAGCTCTATAGAGACCAGGATTCAAAAATATCCATTATATAGACTAACTCTACATGATGTTCCCTTAAAATATTTCCTGTTCTGTATCCTCCTTTCAGGCACCATTTTCTTCTTGGAGCTTTTGGGTTGGAATATGGGTATCTGCAATGTATAATATCTAGTTCTTTTACTTATTGAGTCTATTATTTTCAATTAAATCTTGTCCTAAGCAATGGGGCATTTGCTGTAGCAGAAAGGTGTGTGTGTATTCTCTCATGCCAATATGTACATTAGCCAGAATGTAGTATATGTATATTTTCAGAATTTATTACTTTCAGATGTCTTCAATTTCAAAAAAGTTATGTTATGAAGTCCTCCAAAACAGGTGTTTCCTATTCCACTTTACAACTTTTCTTGGTTTTAGTAATGTTTAATAATGAAAAACTGAAAATTTTCCTGTATACATGGGATTTCCTTACACTACCCAAATAGCAGCTTAAAGAAGTTTATTTCTAAGGAATTGCAGATGTGGGTGTTTTACCTCCTAATTTTTTTTTTTTACTTACCATCAAGAAACTTTGAACTTTTGGATGTAGCAGGAACATGCCCAGACACTATGCTTACAATTTAAAGCACTGATTCTGCATCTGATGTTGAATAGAGAGAACCACAAAAAAGTCATCAATACTTAAATGGGTATACTACTCTGTCTGCTAGTCCTAAGCTAATTTTGTAATAACTTATTACAAGAATTGGTATAAAATATGGCTGGATATCCTGGGAAAAGCAAAGTGGATTGAATTGGAGATATGTTGTTAATCTTTAATTCTTTTTACCAATGATTTACCTAATGTCACTGCCAAGAAAAAGTCTCTCTAGGACTGCACAAGATTTTGATTGTCTAATTTCTAGCAGATTTTCTGTTTCCTTTTGTTTTCATTTTAAACATTTTCTCAGAACTGTTTGGTATAAATCATGAGTTGCTGCTCTGAAGTTCAGATTTATACTTGGGAAATCTTAAAAGAATATTTTTTACTCCAGTTTTGTTGTAGTGAAGAGTTTAGGCCATGCTGATGTCAGACTTGAGTGGGTTTTTTTGTTTATTTTTTTTTATATTTTGAGGCATAAAATTTTATTTAGAAAAACAAAGAAAATTCCTTTACTTCAAGCTTCCTGAAATAACTAGGGAAAATAAGAATTATCACTTATGACATAGAATAACCCTTCATTACCTCATGCACCCCTCATATTCCTTGGGCAACCAGCCTAATCTGAAGTAATTTTAGCATCACATTTTTTCTACTGAGTTCATCTGGGGTTTTCTACTGAGTTCATCAGTAGAAAAAAAAAAAAAAAAGAAAAAAAACCAAAACAAACAAAAAAAACCCAAACAACAAAAAGAAACCAACCAAACAAAACACCAAACAAAAAACCCAACAAAACAAACAACCTCAAAAGCCATTTGGAATAATCTACAAGGATCCAGAAGTCAGGCAAGTATAGGTGATATGTCACTGTGAATTTCAGTAATTTCACTGAATTCAGGTCTGAATTTGGCATCATACATGTCAATGCTGGTAATAATCCAGAAAACATCTTCCTGTTTTGGATGGAAGGAGAGCTGTTCCTTGAGTTTCCATTGTGGAACAATTGAGAGAAAAACTTGAAAATGTGAATCTGTCTGAGACACTGTGACCTCTAGGATTCACATGTGTGAGGTATATGTGGCTGTTTGACCAATGTATTCAATATTTCCCTTGGCACTCTTTGAAATTGTCTATTAAAAAACAGATGGTGCAGTAGTTACATTTTGAAGGGCTAGAAGAGCATGACTACATCTGGAATTAATATTTAGCTCCCTAAACCAATAGATCACCCAGTTTTAAGAGGGCCTTCTAATATAATTGCATTGCACAAGTACAAAGAAAGAATACACGGCTTTAAGGCAGAGTATAAGCAGTCCGGAACTATAACTCATAGCCACACAAGTCTTTCTGTTCAACTATCTCATTTATGGGCAAGTCTTTTCTACAAGAATTTATTTTTATTGAGCAACAGCAGTAAGTGAAATGTGTAACTTCTTTAATGAGATTTTTTAAATCCACAAATATTCAGGGTTTGTATAAAGTATTTTTTCTGTTGGCAACTACAGTATTCTTAGAGAGATTACATTTTTATACTGTCCCTTGCCCAAAAAG